GCTTTAATTTTTTTGACTCAGTTATACACACATAGACACAATTTTCAGTACCCCTCATTTAATGAAAGAAACTCTCACAATGGTCACAGAAATAACTTGAGTCTGACAAAAATTATGAATCAAAATTTATATGAAGTTGAACAAATGGAGACCAGACATTGCTTTTTAATGAGCTTTCACAAAATCATTTCAAACAATAAATTAATGAAACAGGCCTGGACAAAAGTTATGGTACTCTTAACTTCATATTTTGTTGCATTACCTCTTTAAGCAATCACTGCAATACAATGAATCCTGTAACTGTCCATGAGACTTCTGCTCCTCTCAGCAGATATCCTGGTCCTCTCCTCATGAACTAACTGCTCCAGTTGTCTCAGGTTTGAAGGTTTCTTTCTCCAGACATTATTGTTTCAGTTCCCTCCAAAGATGCTTAAAGGATTTAGGTCACAGAAGGCCACTTCAAAATAGTCCAATATTTTCTTCTTAGTAACATTTGGGTGTTTCTAGCTGTGTGTTTTCGGACATTATCCTGTTGAAGACACATGACCAATGATTGATACCAAACTTTCTGACATTGGGCAGCACGTTTCTCTCTAGAATCCCTCAATAGTCTGGTTATTTCATTGTACACTGCAGAGATTCAAGACACTCTTTTTTTTTTTCTGATGAAGCAAAGCAGCCCAGAACATAACAGAGCCTCCTCCATGTTTCACAGAAGGGACAGTGTTCTTTTCTATATGCCTCATGTTCTATCTGTGAATGTAGAGCTGATGCGCCTTAGTGAAAAGGTCAATTTAGTCTCACCTGTCCTCCAGACACTCTTCCTGAAAAGTTGTAGTTTGGCTTTTTCATGATTTGTTTTCATCAATGCTGTCCTCCTTGGTCGTGGTCGAACTTCAAGCTGCTGAGAGATGGTCTCATAGCCTTTATCTTTAACATTCTTGTCTATAATTTTCTTTCTAATCTCCTAAACCAAATATCTTCCTCACTTCCCTCTGGTCCATGTTGAGTGCGATAAACACCATGCAGCCAAACAGCACAATGACTACCTGTAGCCCTATATATATATTGACCCACTAACTTATTACAAGATTGTAAAAAGCTGTGATGCTAATTAGTGGACACTCCTTGATTTGAAATGTCACATTGATTTCAGTCTTTCCAAGAGGTACCATCATTTTTGCCCATGCCTGTTTCATGAGTTTATTGTTTAAAATCATTCTGTAGAAACATTGAAAAACCATGTCTGACTTTTATTTGCAAACAATTCTTGTATATTATTACTTTATTTAGATTTGAGTTGTTTCAGTGACCATTTTGGGTTTTTCCTTTAATTAAATAGGAGTTCCAAAAATGATGTCCATGCATGTTAAATAATTGCACCCAAAGCAAAGAGCAGATCTAGATTTAGAAGTTCAGCAATTATGTACTTCCTGAACCCTTTTTTAGCCTCATTATCAGATGAATCCTAACCCTCTACTTAGGACTCCTTTGAGAGCCACTGAGTCCACCCACACAGGATAGAAATAAAACATGAGGTTTCATCTTCTCCCATCTGGAAAATGGTTTGCAATTTAGATACCTGCTGTCCAGGTTTACTGTTAGAGACCCTTAGTTTTCTTTTTAAATAAAATATACAGTTTTGCATAACCCCAAAATATGTGTCATAATTTATCCGCAAATATGTCCCTTTATATTCACAGTGGCCCCACAGTTTACTTTTTTTAATCCTTTATAGATTTACATAGACCTAGATAACTTTTATTGTCATTTTGTATACATATTACGTGAACAAAACTAAATTTTATTTTGAACGGCTTTCATACAATAAATAAGCATCAGCTTGGCAGTGAAATTAACAATTCCATTTCATAAAGTGCAGCAGTGATCAAATGTAAGCAGTATGGGAGAAAAGACATGATGCAAAAAACACAACCATATGGAAGTTCACAGCATTTCAAGACAAATGTATATGCTGCAAATAAGTAGCATTTTCATTTGGAGTTATCAGGGTGATGCAGAGTCTGTGACTTGATTTAGAGTTTTTTTTCTAAATTAAGTTATTAAATGCAGTACATATCTATTTTTTTTTTTTTTTTGCTCAATACATTTTGTTGTACTTCTGGTTCCGCCTGTAATCTCTGTTAATTGAACAATTTTTTGCATGCTGCTAGAGATAAAGATTCCCGCGAGAGAGGGAGGTGGGCATCAATTATTCAAATTCCTGGAAACTAATCTTAATGCTTTGTATTTTCTAAAACAAACGAAAAAGCAAACAGACAAATTATTCCTCTAGGCATCTAGAGGAAATAGGCATAATAAATTTTTTCTACAAAAAAAGTTTCAAACATTTCAGCTTATTTGGGTTTTGTTCACATTAAAACTTGTTAAAAGTTTGATGTTATCTAAATCTTTTTTTTTTTTTTTTTTACACAGATCCAGAAGCACAGACTTCGTGAAGAGGCCGAGAGGCAGCTGGGCTGAGGAAGGAGAAATGACAGGAAGGAGAGCATTCAAAGACTGTTTTCAGTATATAAACTGTATATACGTTGTATACCAAAAAACTACAATTTGGATTAGCCCGACCAGCCATCTGGAAAAGCTACTCTTAATATACAGCCTAAGCCTTTACTGGATGAATGATGGGATGGTAGGAAGCTACAAATCTTTAGAGTGAGATCAGCAGGTCAATTTTGAAATTACACCATCCTGCTTGTTTTTAAGCTGTTTAAAGAAATTTACATTGATCCATCATAGAAGATGTTACTACAAAAACACATTACATTCAATGAAGATAGAGGTTCAGATGTAGGTGCAGCAGAGAATCATGATGTGAATCCTAAAATCTACCATGTGATTGGATTTTTAAGGATTTTTCTCAGAAATGTCATCTGAGGCTAATTTAAACCAGAAGACTTGTTAACTTAATGGCTTGTTAAGTTTGTTTTTTATTAAACGAAAAGCCTCAAAAAGTTTTTTAATCTCAACATGAAATAAACTCTATTAAAGCCATGCTGTGGGTGTTCCTCTTTTACGGGAAGAGCGGAGCCATTTTTCCTCATGCCAGTGGCAGGTGCACGCCTCTCTGGGCCTTGAAATACCATTCGTTCTGATTGAAAATGTAGAAAACATGGCAGACATGCTAAAAGCTGTAAAGAATTTCCTGCCTGGACGACATGTGCGGTCCACCTGACGCTGGGCTGCAGGATCGGGTGGCGGCTCCTGTCTAGACCTGAGGGATTCCACCCAAAAATAGCTCCTAAAACAAACCTTGGCTTCTGGCTCTTACCTCAAGTTCGGTTTTCTTTTGTTTAATTTAACATATTTTAGGTGTAATTAAATGCATTAGAACATTTCATTCTTACAGAAACAGCCGAGAAGAGGTTGACTGAAGTGGGCACCAAAGTTTTCTTTGGGATTTTTGGAATAATTTGCAGAAAAAAAAGAAACAATTTGAAATCCCAAATATGTCCTCATATTTATCTAATATTCATGGTCATCTATATATATATATATAAAAAAACATCTCTAAATATATGGAGTTATTTTTATCAATGGTATTTCTTCCTGGCAACTTATCTGAGATCTGATTAGTTTATTCAAATCTCTCTAGAACCTTATCTTTTATTTCAACATTTGAAAGATAAACAGTTTTTTCTCAAAATTTTTTAATCCAACCTTAAGAATCAGAATCAAGTTTATTGCCAAGTAGGTTTGCACTCACAAGGAATTTGACTTGGTGTTGATGGTGTAGACCAAATAGATATATATACAGAATCTAGCTATGTAAATTGAAAATATACTATGTCGGGGGAGGGAGAGAGGCAGTGTCAGTGTCACGGGGGTCTCTGGGCCTTGTTGAAAAGGCTGGCAGCAGATGGGAAGAAACTGTTCTTGTGGGATGAGGTTTTGGTCGTGATGGACCGCAGCCTCCTGCCAGATGGAAGTGACTGAAATAGTTTGTGGCTGCGGTGAGAAGGATCAGCCACAATCTTCCCTGCATGCCTCAGAGTCCTGGAGGCGTACAGATCCTGAAGGGATGGAAGATTGCAGCCAAATACCTTCTCTGCAGACTGGATGACCCTCTGCAGTCTGCCCTTGTCCTTGGCGGTGGCTCCAGTGTACGGCATGGTGGAGGTGAGGATGGACTCAATGATGCAGGAGTAGAAGTGCACCATCATTGTCCTTGGCAGGTTGAATTTCTTCAGCTGCTGCAGGAAGTATATCCTCTGCCGGGCTTTCTTGGTGAGGGAGTTGATGTTCAGCTCCCAGTTTAGGTCCTGTGAGATGATGGTTCCCAGGAAGCAGAAGACTTCACCATTGTGGAGTCAAAGAGGATGATGGGATAGCTGGGACTGAGTTCCAGCTTGTGTATTAAAACTACATATCACTTCACTTTCACTTTATTTTTTAGCAAATAATCCAACATTAAACAACAAAACAACAATATCAAAACAGAACAAAACCAACAATTTACCAAAAAAAGGAATAGGCTGAAGCAAAGCTTATTATTGCCTACATATTTTATGCTGTCCCTATTAATTGTGCACACTTAGATCCCTGGTAGCTGTGTCGAAATGAACCATATTTTATTGGTGCATTTTCGAAAAGACTGAAAAGGAAATGTAGCAGCTATTTAAACATATTGGATCCCCAGTGTGACTGAAAACATCAGTAAGAGCAGAGAGGAGTCAATAGATAAGGTCATTTACTGCTACTCTTTACCTTGGCTGCTTTTTCTCCCAGTTTTTTCTTCCTCTAAGCTCTCATTATGCTCATCATGCTTTTCATTTGTGACAATCTGCCAGATAAATTCAATCAATTTAAAACTGTTTAACAGCTGGTCGGAAAAGGTGGAGTAAGCAATTTTATATGCTTTCATTTTTTAACCCTAAAACCCAACAAAGTGAGTTATTCTGCAGATGATTCTGTTCTGCTGCAAAAAAAAAATAGATCCCTGGTTTCCTTTTAAAGCAGAAAAATAACAGAAAACGAACTTTTATCAGGTTCTTTTATTACAGATATAGTTTTGAATCCTACAGAAGCTCAACCAAATTGCATCAGCACATGAAGGATCTGACCTGTCCTGGTTTGGTTAAATCCCAATAAACTCTTCGTTTAGATCATTTTAATGAGCAAAGCAAAGTTGTATTTGTTTCACTATTTGATCTGCTTATCATGGGACTTTTTTCAGATTTTTGTCTTTAATATACATGTTTGCTTTCCGTAGATGATTCCTTAACCTCTCTGGTTGATTTGTTTTCCCACTTACAGACTGAAGAATCTGTAAAACTGCACGTGGACAAACCAACAGTCATTTTACATCTACAATTTTGTGGAAGCTGTTTTTGTCTTCTTCCTGCTCCACCCTGCACACAAACACCGTCTCTTTCCAAGGTTTTTTTACACTTGGGTGTGAAAGACCTAGAGTGGCCAGGCGACAAAACCTGACCTCACCCTCATCCAGAGTCCCACAGAGTTGCGTCCAGACTGCATTAATGGGGCTAAAAAAGCAAACTCCAGTCTGCAGTGTCTCACAGAGGGCTTTTGAGAGAAAATGCTGAGGCTTGTTTTAGGCACAAAGAGTCACATTGAGTCCTCATTCTTTGGGCAGCGGGATCCCAACTGCAGTCTGGCATCCCTGCATGTGCTGCTGAGCCTGCCTCACCTGCTCCTCGCTGCAGCAGTCCTGCAGGAACACAGTCGCCAGGTTGCGCAGACGCGGGCTCTCTGCGAGCGAGAAGCGCAGCATGCACTGCAGGATTCCCGGCTCTGAGATCTGGGAACGAGTTGTGGGCGTGGCGAGGTTCATGAGGGTGGTGATGGCCGACAGGACGGTCTCTTCCCGCCTGTTGGACAGGCAGTTTGTAACCAGGCTGATGGCGCCGCTCTGCAGGATGACGTCTCTACATTCAGGATCCATGCTGAGGTTACACAGCCCGCCTTACAACACAGAGAGGATGATTTTTTTTTTCAACAGTACAATAAATTATCATGCATTACAATAGGAAAAGACTGAAAGCATGCACCATTAGAGAGGCATTTCTAATTTGACTTAAAAGTAAATTAGAAAAAAGGCAATCAGTTTTCTAAAGTTAAAAGATTGCTGTTTTTTACGTATGAGTATTGCTGGCATCCCTAAGGTACCAATTATGTTTTTTTTTATGTTTATTTGAGTTCAGTTATTTATACAATGAAAAATTCTAAAAAAAGTCACAAATTCCCACCAGAGATGAGAAAGAAATCAAAATTCATACTAACAAAATAAAGTCCTACTGAAGGCTTAATTTCAATGAGTCAAGTCCAGTTCTAAATTTTACAGAGGATAGTGGGATTTCATTTAAAATGGCAATTAAATCAATAATAATCTAATTTACAAAGCAAAACTAGTTGAATCAATGTTTTGATTTTACAGCAACCCCTCCTAACAAGGTCTGCACAGGAAAAAGCAAAACATCAAATAACTATTTGAAATTAGAAAATTTAGATATTCATGCAAATATTCCAATAGATTGGAGAAGCATTGAAAGGATCATTGTCAAACCCGAAGTAGGGGTCAGAGACACCAAGTAAGAGGGTTACAAGTTGTTTATTTCAACTACTGTAATGTGGTTCGTAAGGTATATGGAGGGCCAAAGTATCTTCTATTAAATAAACCTTTATTTATTTAATACATAATTTAAATACAGACTGCATCACAATTAGAATATTATATTTGCACTACCAACATGGCTGATTTTTTTTTTTTATAATCCCTTTAAATAGAATACAAATCAATGTTCTAATTGCATTTTGCATCATAGTTATTTATTTTGCACTGCACAGAACCATTCCATATCAATGCGTTTTACAGTATGACTTTTAAATTGGTCTCTTTTTCTCCTTAACTGTTTACATTCTTGATCACTGCTGAACTTTATAAATGGCAATGTTTATTTCACTGCTGTAAGCTGCTCATTCACTACTGTAAGCACTGAAATTTCTTTATGTATACACTGTGCATACAACACGACAATAAAGTTTGACTAATACACACTAATATATCTATCTATATATCTATATATATATATATATATATCTATCTATATATCTATATATATATATATATATATATATCTATCTATCTATATATATATCTATATACATATCTATAGATATATATATCTATAGATATATATATATGGAAATCAGATTTATTAACCAATGCAGGCTTGGCTTTCAATTCAAAAATGCTTTATTAATCCAAAAGGCAAATAAAATATTGCAGCAACTCATTTGTTATTTTTTATCCAGGTGTTTTAGGTGTTGGTAGCTGTAGGCAGGGAGGATCTTGTGTAGCGGTCTGTCATGCACCAGATCAGGAAAAGCCTCTGATGTTGTTTTAACAATCTTCTGAAGAGGATTTGGAACCATACACAACATTAAATTTGAAAAACCCACCACAGGCTGATCCAACTTTTATGTAATGTCCCTAAACCAGGTGAAAATGAGGCTCAGTATTGCGTGTGGCCTCCATGTGCCTGTATGACCTCCCTACGACGGCTGGGTATGCTCCTGATGAGGTGGCAGATGGTCTGAGGGATCTCCTCCCAGAACTGGACTAAAGCATCCGCCAACCCCTAGACATTCTGTGGTGCAACGTGACGTTGGATGGATCGAGACATGATGCTCCAGATGTGCTCAATCGGATTCAGATCTGGGGATCCAGCGGGCCGGTCCATAGTATATATGTATATATATATACATATATATATATATATATATAGCTGTTCCTAGGAACAGGTAAGATACTGCGAACAACCCTCAAACTCCCAGGCCTCTGGTAGAGGACCCGAGCTTGAGGATGACACATACCACCCCACGAGGGGTGAGAAAACAGTTTTTTTTTTATATCTATATATATATATCTATATACATATATATATATAGATATATATATATATATAGGTGAAGTAACATAGTCTGTTGCATTGTTCTTGGGGGGCACGGGCTAGACTGGTGAGAGATTATAATTTAAGGTTATTTCCAGCTTAATTAAAATGTAAACAGATTTCACCCTTTGAAAATATTTCCAGTGTTTCTCTGGTAATTATTAAATGAAAAAATATTAAATGAAACTAAACACACTCACCCATGCCAAACTCTATAAAGTTCTCGTTCTCCTCGGTTAGCATATCCAAGAAGAGGTCAGGCACCTGCAGCTCCCGCAGATACTCCATGTTCTTTGGGTCATATGCGAAGTTGGCGAGGTTGGCCAGAACTTGCTCTTTTGCCTCTAAGTGAAGAACAAAATCAGTCAAAAATAAATAACTGAATATTTTAAAGATAAATATGGTGGTTTAACTTCACTAATATGTTTATCGAGTTTCCTCCAATAGGAAGCACTTTTTCTAGTGAACAGTGGACCTGGGTGGACAGGGAATTAGAAAAGGGCTTTCTGTAAATATAATGCAGTTTTGTCACATTTCGATCATGCCTGAAATATCTGCTATGATCTAAAACAGGGGTTTTCAACGTTTTCCAGGCCAAGGACCCCCAAACTGATGGCGAGATGGAGCGGCGACCCCTAATTATATATAGTATGAAATTATGTTATATCAAACTGGTCCTATAGTCACTCTATTACAGATGGAGTCATGTAACGAAAGTAATTTCGTCCTGGGATTATTAAAGTATTTCTGATTCTGATTCCTCGTTGATGGGACAGGTGTTGTGAATGAAACGGTGCCCAGCTTGAAAGAGACTGAAAGACATCTTCTGCCTCCATTTATCTGTTTACTACAGTATTTTGAATTCATGTTAATGTGTATTTAACGACATTTCAATTAGAGGAAAAAATAGCAGGGGGAATATAAAAAAAAAAAAAAAGTCTAATCAACCAAAACTTTCACGTCCCCCGTGCAGTACCTCCGTGAAACCCCTAGGGGTCGCAGAAGACCTGCGATCTAAAATAGGATTTTAAGGAAAAGCAGAGCAGAATTGGGAAATCTTGATGCAAAGGGAGCTTGAGTAGTTATCTGTGCTTTACAGTAAGACTAATAAAAAAGACCGGATAGTAACCCTTATATGTGTTTTCTGAATACCTTTGACAATTTAATTCAAAAGCAAATGAAACAGATCTGTCGTATTCAAGTATTCCTCTGTATAGCGAACAAACTTTGTAAACCTACATATTATGGTTATTGTGGTTCGATACACCATGCTCCCTGTAAAACAGGTGTTTTCTTGTTTTTACTTTATTAGTAATATCAATCTTTTTTTTATCTTATTTTATTTTTTTCTCTAAAAAGAGCATTAGATGTGATAAATTAAAGCTGTTTTCACCTTCACTGTCGGTGTTCTGAAATTCAGTGACTAGTGATTGTAAATATTCAAACCGCTCTGGCGCTTCTGTAGATTCATCCTTCCTCATCATTATCACCTTCCAATTCAGCTTTTTGTTGCTTTAAAAAAAAAAAACAACAACCACCGATTAAACCGATTACAAGCGGAGGTTTAACAAAATAAATGCGCATATGTTGCTTGTAGTTGTCCGTCTATGAAATGCGTCCGTTGAATCCAAAGAGTAGTAGAAGCAGTTCCGGGTTTCCTATGTGTTTTATCTAATTCTGTCTCCAAGATAGAAATGTACCAAAAAAAAAAAAAAGAGAGAAAAAAATCGGAACCTACAGCGCTGGATTTCAGACACCTCGGAAATAAGAACTTCAATCTGTGAACAAGTGGAACAAGCTAAAAAAAATAAAAACAGTTGTATTTGCTTTTTGCTGTTTTTCATAGACTTTAGGAACATGTTTACAGAGAAAGATTGCAGTACACAATGTATTTCACTCGTTTAACAAGATACACAGTACTTTCAAGGATACGTTGGTAGTATGAATAGATTTAAACTTACAATTTTAGTCTTTTATATATTTAGCAACAATATTGGAAGCTAAATGTGCTTGGGGACCCTCAATTATGCAGTATGGAGACTTTGATTATATCGATCAGTCAGCAGGAAGAAAATGCCCCTCTTTTCTCTAGCTAATTTGCCCTTCCCTCTGGAGATATATATGTTAAGAGGAAATCTATTCTATTCTGTCTTATTCTATTCTACTGCTGATCATTTATTTATCATATATTTTCAGTATTATCTCTTTACTACACGGGCTATGAAAGTTCTACATGGGTCCTGGCCCTTCTTGCCTCCTGTCTAGAACCACCCATAGATTAATTTTTATACTTTCTATATTGACATGTTTTTTTCTCTTGGATCGGCATCTAGGTTTTAACTGCATATAGCCAAAACACACCATTATTGATTTAATGAAATGTTTTACTGTCTTTCATCAGTCTTGAGCTCAATAATCAGACTGAGCCCTCAGATGAGCTTATTGAGAGGCAGAATGTGCACGTCTATAAGGTAGGAAAAGTTATTAGCAAAAGAGTTGCAGTTCATTTGACAGCTGAGTTCAGCATCAATTTCTTAGAACAAATAAAACAGTTATATACAGTTATAGGTATTCAGAAACTGGCTGTTGTTCTATGAATATGTTAGTGGGATATCTCCAGCAGTCAATGAGCGAGAGGCGGGGTACGCCCTGGACAGGTCGCCAGTCCATCGCAGTATATATATATATATATATATATATATATATATATATATATATATATATATATATATATATATATATATATATATATATAAAAACAAAGAATAACTTACTTTATTAACAACATTCAAAGTTTTCCAATTTACGGGAAACACAAATGCACCATGCAGACTAGAACCTAAATAAATAAACCAGGACGCTATTTCCGCCACAACACCGGAAGCTGCATCGAGTCCAGAGGGAGGCGTGTTTGTGTTTCTGCGCTGTTGTACCAGCGCACATTGAGAAGGTCATCTACGGAGAAATATAACCACTTAATGTAAGTTTAGACTGAGTTGTATATCCAGACATTGAGGCTAAATTCTGACACAATAAGGAAGCGATGAAGCAGCACCAGCTGTCCACCGGAAAACGTCTCACCAAACCGATTCTGTTCGGGGCTGTGCTGATTGGACTCGCCACTGCTTTCATAAACAGGTAACTTATTCTATAACTGTTTGTTATAGCATCCAAATATGTAATTAATTACAATTACAAACACTGGAGGTCTTCTATAATTGGTAAAACAACATTTCTTTATCACTACTTCCTTTATAAGCTTGTTAAGCTTAAATGTTAACTGGTTTTTATCTTGTCGGTTTAATTTTAGGCAATTTTCTTAGAAACAGAATATTTAACAGAATAAAAAAAGAAGAACAAATAACCAACCATTTTGTCTTTTATCTATACTGATTTAATAGGTAATAAATAACAAATCTAAGTGTCATCTTATGAGGCTGATGATTTCATTCTTAAATTTAAAACAATCAATCAAACGTAATAATTCCTATTCAAATCAGATACAATGTGGTTTATTAAGCTAAAATATTAAAATATTACTAATATGTAGGATTCCTTTAGAGCAGATATTTTTCATGTTTGTGTAATAACACACCGCTGCCACTAGGGTGTGCTCTGAAGCGTTTCTAGTGAAAGACACAACAGGCTCCCCACCAATGGGACCTCTGAATTACTGCAACATTTAATTACCCTTTGGGATTAATAAAATATTTTTGAATTGAATTGTCATGTTTTTACATTACTGGATTAACAAACTATAAGAAAAATAAACTATTTGAGTTGTTGATTTTTGTGCCATAAGAAGTTGCATGTCAGATAGTCCAAACACTTTTTTATTTAATTTTTTTGCCTGTAAGCATATTTCTAACAAGATGATCCTCCTCTTTTTTCAAGTGTCTGAAAAAAGCCAAACCCGAGTAGCAAGGTAGTACTGGCTGGAACACTGTGGTGTTAAACATCCATCCACATCTGTTGATAATAATGCATTTTGGCAGGATTTGTAGTGTTTTAGACTTAGACATCTTTTATTGTCATTTTGTATGCAAAGAGTGGCAATTTAAATGACATTTTGATTTCATTTTGTACAGCTATCAGAACATTTGCATTCCATAAAGTGCAGCAGTGATCAAATGTAAACAGTGTGGGAGCAAAAACATGGTCAGAAACAAAAAAGCATTGATACGGAAGTTCAGAGGATTAGATATATATGGTGCAATTATGCAGTGTTTTGGTTTGATGTTATCAGTGTGATGCAGAGCCTGTGACATGATTTAGAGTTTTTTAAACAGTTCAGGTGTCTGATGGCGGTGGGGAATAAGCTGTTGCGGAATCCGCTGGACCTGCATTGAATGCTGCAAAGCCTCTTTCCACCAGAGGGCAGCAGGGAGAACAGTCCATGGTGGGGGTGTGAGGGGTCTCTAATGATGTCACGGGCTCGCGACATGCTGTGCTGGGATTAAATGTCTTTAAGTGAGAGGAGAGGAGCCCAAATGATCCTCTCTGCTGTTCTCATTTTCTTCCAGTCTGAGGCGCTGCAGCCTCGACACCACACAGTGAGACAGCTGGTCAGAACGCTCTCTATGGTGCTTCTGGAGAAGGTGGTGAGGATGGGTGGGGGCAGGTGGGCTCTCCTCATCCTCCGCAGGAAGTACAATCACTATTGTGCCCTTTTGACCCATTAGGGGGTGTTTACAGTCCAGGTGAGGGTGTCTGTGATGTGCACCCCCAGTAATTCAGTGCTGCTGACCACCGGTTAGGCCGTTTCTTCCTGAAGTCGACAATCTTTTTTTTTTTTTTTAGAAGGGTTGTACAGATGTATTGGCTGGTGACTAGAATATGAGGAGTTTTAGCTCTGGACAGGTGACTTTAGAGGCATTAGACATTTTTGTTCTTTCTACAATACACATGGCAAAACAAACTCACACTGATCACAATCTCTCAAATCACAATTGTTCCTGTAAAGATTGGAGACAGGCAGTTAAAATTACATTTTGGATCCTACAAATACTCAACCAGGTTTGAAAAGTACTTAGCAGGGCACGTATTGCTAAATTACTTATAACCGTTTTTGTTGTAACATGTCAAAAGTATCGTATTTATAACTTCCTTGCCAGGATTTTTTAATAACTCTACCCGTAAAAATCATATAATCTTTTTAATGTTTTTTCCAAATAGACATATGTTCTTTGAGGATGTGGAGGACCTGAGGGCTCAGGAGCGAGCACGCAATGAATCAAAGAGGATGGAGATCCTGGAGAGGCGGCAGAAGCAGAAAGACGAGCTGGCAGAGAAGAAGAAACACGGAGGGGAGTGATTCAACAAAGCAGCTTCAGAAACGTACGCGTCTGCTGTCCAAAGTCCTGCGATAGACCGACGCTGAGCAGATCAGTGGACTCCAATAATCCCCATCTTCTATGAGACAAACCCAGAATGGCTTTTCTAGATCTTGCTCTGAGCCTGTGTGCATCAATGGACTTGTTTTCTTTACCTGTGAGTCCAAGCAAGAACCTAAGCTGTGCAAGAAACCAAAGCTGCATCTTTGTTTGGAGACATTTTTAAAACATTTAAACAGAATGTTTAATGATTGTCCAGCAGAGGGCAGCAAATGCTACCTAATGAGACAACAGTAACCTAAACAATATGTACCTTTTGAGTGTCTTTAGTCACATTCTGTTGAATCATTTCAACTTTTTGTGACATTTTATATAAATGCAACCGAAAACTTATAAAAAAAAAAAAATATGGATTCTGCTTCTCATCTGAATTAATTCCCTATTGTGTGAAAAAGAGTTCATTAATATAAGAACACACATTGAAAATGACATTAAATACTGGAAATTGATGTAGTCTGTTATGCTGTTCCTCACTTAAGAAATGTTCTTGAATGAATCGTTCGGAGATATGAAATATCATAAGTATCAGTAAATCCGTAAGTTCATTTATTAAACATTTAGAGAAGTTAAGAATAAATAAATTCACTGCACATGAAGGGGATATACTGTATTTCACATGTTTTATTTGTATTGATTTTGATCACAACCAATGAAAAATGAAAACTTAATTTCTCATAAATGTGAATATTACATTCAACTGATAAAAACACAAAAACATTTTAAGATGTTAACCACCTGCAGCTCAGGTGCCAAATATGTCAGCATATGGAAGAAAATCAGTCTCATTGGAATCTGTTTGTTTTTTTTTAGATATTGAATTCCTTTCACTCAGGTTTTTATCTGGTAAAAATTCACCAGGAAAAAAAAAATTCAGCTGCAAAAATTGAGGTGAATTTTTTGCAGCTGAATTTTTTTTCTGGTGAATTTTGAGTGTAAGGAATTCAATGTCTAAAAAAATTCAGTGTTTAAAATTCCGTGTTAAAAAAAGCCAGATTCCAATGAGACTGTTTTTCTTCCATATGAGCATGTATGGAGTAAATTTTGCTTCAAAAAGACTCTGTTAATCATTTTACTTGTACACCTTATCTAATCCAGCACACTTTTACCTTCCACTAAACTTTACGGTCATATACTTCTTCCGCAGTGACTCCTGAAGGTAAAGTCTAATTAATCGGATTTAAGCCTCTGGTTTAAGGTTTCTATTGGTTTGTCCAAAACATGAATTATCAGGAAGTGATTAATATATGTTAGTCCTTCCCTAACCCCAGAAAGAAGTGACGTGATAATAAATACATTTTCCTTATTGGTAGATGCAACCAATAATCAGGAATTTATAAATATACCCACACATGGTGAAAAGAAAAAAATATTGCACTAAACTGACATTGAAAAAACAAAATGTCTTATAATTCACATCTATTAAAGATTGGCAAATTGTTTAGTGAATTAAAAAAGTTGAGATACTTAAACGTACGAACAATGCATAAAGGGATAGTTCGGATTTTTAGATGTACCAATTAGACTTGAACAGTTTAGTTTTTCTTTGAAAATATTGCAATAGACTACAAACTTCAGTCTGTAGGTTAAATAACCAGTTTCAAAATAAGATCTGCAATCAAGTTTCTTTTCTTTTTTTTAAGATCAGAGCTATATTTAAAAAAAACACCTTTGGCCTTGTTTCCGCCTTTACTTAATCCCCAGAAGGGTAAGATACTGACTGCTCATAGTGTCTCTATAACAACACTGGGAGACGATCCGAACTATCCCTGCAACATGTCTGAAAAAACTTCCACTTCATTGCCCAACAGCTACTGTGGATCAATATGACCAACACTTCATGTCACAGAAAGGGACGTTATGTGACTCGCTACAAAGACTCACTGGATAGATGTGTAAATGAAAGAGACGAGCTTTAACAGTTTCCAACACGAGAAAAATGTTGCTTTAAACTCACCTGTTGGACAATTTAAACATCAGCTCAACAAAGCGGCCTGCATGAGCCCAAAGGTTTAACTGATATTATTGCTAAGTAAAATTGTGAGAAATGTTACTTATAAGTGAGAATTTTCCTGTTCGTGTCATCAAAAGAGTAACATTTGCATAATATTGAACCTTTTTTTAACATGATACACTCGGCAAACTCATGTCAGCTAAGTAGTAAGGCCATTGTGGCCTCTGTCAGGACCAGACGGATAGACAAACACCCATTTCTCACGTATGGAGCCATCTTTACAGCGGTTATGAAGCACAAGGGTCAAAACAACAGAGCACAACGCAACAAAGAGGGTGCAACAGGAGACGGTGCAACAAAGTGTTCAATGTGCTCCTGTGTGCTGCAGCTGGGCGGCGTTTGGCCGACGGGGTCTCACACAGCCAGGCGCACCAAGCCGGGCGAGGAGGCAGCAGGAGCAGAGGTGAGGGCCGTCAGGCTCCCCGGTTCTAGTCTGTTCACTTTCCCACTGCAACAAAACCATTTAGATATATTTTATTAATTAATGTATGCTTACTAAAAAGTTTGCAGCCTTTTTTTTTGTCTTTTAGCAACTTTTCTCTGACACAATCAGGTAAAACTAAAAAATTCTGAAGCTGAATCTGAAGAGAGATTGTAAAAAAAGAAGATTCCAGTTAGGAAAAAAAATGTGATGTAAACAAATTACATTTAGGAGTCTTTAAGTAACTTTTAGAGAAGATAACTTTCCAAGATACTTATCTGTGTATAACCATTACTTTTAAGTACTTTTAAAACTAAATACACTAGAAAAATATACAAAGGTGATGTAAAGTTTTAGGAAAACCAATTTTGAAATGTAATATTTAATTAAAACCCAGAAGAAAACAAACCAATATGAGTCACTGAAAAGCAGCATTTGCTTAAAAAAATTGATTTTAGTTAAGTTCTTGTGAAAAAACTACGTAAGAGGGCATATATATATCTTTTTTTTATCTTCTGTATGCTTTGCTACCTTTAAAACTGTTTTTTGTTTAAATGCTAAATCATTGCCATAAGTATAGAACAAAATTTGACGGGTGCAAAGATATGGGCACCTCAGCAAAAAAGAGACATTAATATTTAGTAGATCCTCTTTTTGCAAAAAAGAGGATCTACTTTGCTAAAACAAAGTTTGTGAATTCAGTGAAATAATTGTTAAAATATATCTATCATTTGTGTGTTTTTAGCTTTCTTCCTGTATGGGAAGCTTTTCAAAATTTGAAACATTAGTGCAGTGGTTTATGTTAAAATAAACCTTGGGGTTAAGTTGTCGCAAGCGGGTTTTTCTTGTGTTTCTTGTTAATTTTTATTTCAAGTGGCATTAAAAAGTATTAAAAAGTCTTCAGTTTAACTTGCCTTATGCTGTAGGAACCCTGTATATGCAAAAGAAGTTAGCATATGTTAGGGAGGGTACCCTGTAAAAGCTTTTTACAAATAGCTGCATTATATATCATTACTTTAAAGAAAAAAGAAGACAGGTCTCACATTCAAAAGGCAAGAACTATTAAAAACATATAAAGCAAAAAAGAATAATTAAATGCCTGAAAATAAATTCCTTGGACATTTTTTCAGAAATTTTCAAGAAATTTTCTAGCTGTGAGTCGGCTGTAAAGTGTCGATTCAAATAAAGTTTACTTTCTGGGATTTTAAAGGACAGACCAACATCAAGTAATATATTAATAAAGTTGAAAGAAAATTTATATTTTCTTTATTACAAACAAGTCATCAAAACATGGTCAGCACTTGCATTGAGCCCCATTTTAATCTGGGACCCCTGAATAAAGGCCAATGCAATCATTGCCTTTTAAAAGTCTGCTAATCAGTCAATATTGTCCCTTTGTATGAGCAGGGAAAGATGTGGAGAAGTTTAAAGCATAATTTGGTTATAAAACAGTGTCTTCTTCACAGAACTTAGAGTGAAAATCCAGCAACACAAAATTTACATGTTCACTCTGGAGGAGCTGCAGTGCCCTACAGCTCTGGTAGACAAACCTCAGGAATCAGAAGAATTATCCCTTATGGATTAGTGGCTTTCAGTCAGATTTTGCTGGAATTACACTAAGATGTTCTGCTAAAGGCCAATTAGAGCACTTTGCAAAAAGGTGAGAGATAGACGTGGCACCAAATGCTTGTGCTTTAGCAGGAAAAAAAACACCTTTGTTAAAATGAAGCCATAAGAACTTCCATTAAAATTGTGTCAGATGGTATGTGAATGACAAAGCAAACATGAGGAAAAAGGTGCTTGGATCACATTTAAAGGAACATTAACACAGTACACTACCCTAAAAACACCTTCCCTGTTAAACGTGGCAGTAGTTGCATCATGTTTTGAGAATAAGTTTCTCCAGAAGGGTAAGCAAATAAATGGGAAGGTGGATGGAGCTAAATTAGAGGCAATACTAATGGATTCATGCTGCAGGATGTAAAAGACTTTAGACCTTTAAACCCGAAAACGACTCAAAGCAGAAAACCGAAGTTTGATGGAATAGTTTAGATCAAAGCATGTGTTAGAACGACCCAGTCAGAGTGGAGGTGGAAATCCAATTCAGTATCTGTGTCAAGATGTAAAAACACTGAAAAGCTGCATTAGCTGTTTTTCTGTTAATGAGGTAGTAGAGGTATTGAGGTAATGAGGTATCTGCAAAGACACAGGTGCTTCAATTTCCTGTTCAGTTTGCATATTCCTAAGGGAAGTGCATACATGTTTGTTTTTTAAAATGGTGAAATGTGAAAAGGAGAGTCAGTACTGGAAATATTACCCACTTAAGAATGAACACTACCCATAAATGTGTGAGAACTCCAAACACTAGACGGGATATGATGGTGTCCTCCTTTAGCTTCATCTAACATGGCAAAAACAGCACAGCAAAACCCTTTTACCAAAGAAACAAACTGATCCTGCCTTAAAATAGCCCAGATAGTAATTAACCCTTTCTCTCCCATCACCTTGGAACTTGCTAATACTTGCAAATCCACAAATGCTAACGGACTGTTGTGGCTGAATAATCTAAAACCTTGTTTCAGACACATATAAATATGTCTCACACTGTTAATACATGGAAAGCTTGATCTAAGGTTAACATCTACAGTCTTTTGTACAGAGAATGGCCAAAGGTTTTGCATGACACAACTGTTTCTTTATGCTTTATAAGCTTAAAAGTTTCTTCTGTTTGTCCCTCTTTCTAACCTCTAGTGTTAACCAAGCTCTGCACTGGTGGCAAAATAACCAGTAGCTCTTGGACGACATGAAGCCCCCCCACTAATACAAAACCTCCCACTTTGGGTTCATGCAAAATCTGCACTTAGAAAAACTCTAATCTGAATAAGTCATTTTTTCTTAAAATAAAAGCAGGTAAATGAGAAATAAGAAATAAATAATTGCAGTCTCTTATTTCAAGTGCATATTATCGAATAATCTTATTCTAAAATACTAAAATACTCATTCCATTATTTCTAGATCATTTTTGCAGTGTGTAAGCTTCACAGTCAACACAAAAAGCCAATTATTTATCAGTCTCCTTCATAGCTATAAGCTCATCAGGTTGACTTTAAGAGGACTTTAATTTGTCTGTACTGAATTAAACTAAGCAGGTCAGTTTGTGCACAGAGAATCTCAGCATCTGGATCCCATTCTTAAGTAAATTTCCAAGTAAACACTACTTTGCAGCAAACAAGGCAAAATTATGAGGTAAAATATGGTCTTTAGGGTCTGCAATGTTAACCTCTGTCTTAACGCTGAATGTAGCTGCAGTAATCTAAGGTTGCCTCCTGTGTTTTATATCTAAGGTACCGCAAATTAACTTAGAAAAAAGTTTATGTTAAGTGAAAACTTAATAAGGTAGCTAAAAAAAGTCAAAAAGCTAATTTAAAAAGTTAATAAGCAAATATTAAAAAGTCAGAAAAATGTGGTTCCTGTATCAGCGTTGATGTTTTGAGGCTTTCTTTAAAAATTTTCGCAATTTCTTATAAAAGCACTTTCTGAATTTTTCTTTATCAGGCCAATGAAATTGAATTATTTTTAGGTATACCAAAAGTTTAAGAGGTCTTGTTTTGTTCAGGAATAATACTCTTGAAATTATTTCAAAGTATTTCACTGAATGTCCGTTAAAGCAGCGGTCCCCAACCAATGGGCTGCAGACCGGTACCAGTCCGTGGGTCATTTGGTACCGGGCCACACAGAAAAAAGTATATATATATATATATATATATATATATATATATATATATATATATATATATATATATATATATATATATATATATATATATATATATATATAAAATTTATCGACGAGTCTGAATGATGTTTTATTTTGAAAAATATAAATAATTGCGGTATTCTCTCCCAGTTACATCAGTTGGTGCATCTGTGCCTCTTGGCACAGGTTAATTCGGGATTATCTGCGGTTACAGCGACCTACGGAGCAGACTGGACATCAGGAGCACACTTAGTCTGTCATTTTCTCTGGTTACCCCTAGTTGGGACCGGCTTGTTGTTTTATTTTTATGCTGTTTGTATTTGATTTTATGCCAGTCGTATCATTTTACCCCATCATTTTGTGTTGGTTGACACCCCCCCCCCCCGGCCGGTCCGTGAAAAAATTGTCTGACATACAGCGGTCCGTGGTGCAAAAAAGGTTGGGGACCGCTGCGTTAAAGGATTGAGCATTTTTTCAATTAATGAAGGAATTTGCAATACAGAATATTTGTGTCATTTCCAAAAGTGTAAACCATCACCATACTCCTTCCGGTCAGATAAAAGATTAAAAACAAAGGAATAAAAACACTACCGCCACCATTTATCAGCTCATTTTAGGCCGCAGCAATTTTACATCTACGTGATTAGAGAGAAGGCTTGTTAGATTGAACTCAGCATGCATCCCAAAACCTTCTGAGCAGATAAAGGAGCTGTAGTTACCCAGAACTAATGCTGGGAATATGACTCTCTCCGTTCTGCTGGGACAAAATGCAAAAACGTTTCAGATTCTTCTCATTGTTTTATCTCTAAAGACATGTTGTATAGTAATAATTGCAAATGTGTTACTTACGCTTTGTCATAATACGACGTACTGAGTGCTTGGGTGTAGCTGGTTGTGTTTGCATTCAGGGCGTTGCTGTTGTCCAGAGAGTACGCCTTCCTGGCTTTCTGATCCTTAGCAAAGTTCCTGCAGGCAGCGAGCTTTGATTCCAGAGCCTGCAGGAAGGTAAAACATGATAACTGAGGAAGCTGAGTTTCTGCCTGAAGCTGAAGGGCGGATAGAGACAAGGCAGCTGAAATAGAAAGAAGGAACACCTCACCCCGACTTTCCGGAGTAAGTCACTGACAATGTTGAGCGCTGATATCCTGGCAGAGGGGGTCAGCGGGGAGTTGCTGCCGTAGCCATTGGACATAACTGAAACAGCAACAAGGCACACTTGTTCAAACCTATCAGTGCATCTAAGGCTGAGCCTTTAAATTCCTTTGCATTGTTTTATAACTATACATAATAAGAAAAAGATTCAGGTAAAATATTTTTGGGAATTAATTAAATCAGGAAATATGTTTTCTCTGTTGCTTAAACATAAAAACATTTACCATTACCTCATTCAACTTTGTGCTGGATTAATGTATTTCTTTTTTGTGTGTGGAAAAAAATAAGTAAACAAAACAGTTTTGTTCTGAAGTGGAGTTTTTCACACCTTCATAAACAATACACTCTTAATTTCTCAAATATCTGCACACATTTGTTTCATCAAATCAACCATTGAAGCATTTTGCAAACTAAAATAAAGCACATTGTGCAGTTTGATGCACTTCCTATTTCTACTGTCAATTAAACAAGCCAGAAGGTGAACATAATTAAATCACTATTGTCATCAACTGGACACTTTAGCTCAGAGCTAATAACTCTTTTGTCTAACGATCAATGTAATCAATTAAAGTAAGAGTGGAAACAGGCCTGTTGGAGTTTCCTTTCAACAATGGGGGGAATTCAGGGGTGCAGGCCAAGGGTTTGTATGGGAGGTGGGGTAGAAGGGACAAGAGTAAATGAACTCAGGTATGAGGATAGACACTGCAGTATTACTCCATATATGCCACTGAAAAAACCCTCTGAATATATATTTGTGGACATGGGCGTAGGTTTGCATAGGGACCATAGGGACATGTCCCTACCAATAATTCGATTTAATAACATGTTTATATAAAATGTTTATAATTTACAATTCAGAGTGGTGGATCACAGCCAATTCTGTTTCTCTCGCAGCTCTGCAGCTCAGTAGCTGCAGCTGCCGCTTCGTCTGAGTGCTACCCACTCATTGGTTGTTCTGCCTCAAGTTCCGCCTTCTCTCTTCCTGATTGGCTATTTTCTAGTCCGTATGCGTGTGTGCGTGCTTGGAGCGTGAAATAAGAATTTTATTCACGCTAGTTACTTAAATTAATATTAAGCTATGAAACTAGTCCTAATGAAAGAAAACTTATTTCTATCTTCACTAAAACAGGCGAAAGCTGCTGATTGCTGATTCTTAGCCACAGCTGACTGAAAAAGAAAATGTGAGGGTTTCCCTTTTAACAATACTTCAATGCAATTACTGTTTTCATTTTATGACCACCCTTTGAGGCAGTTCAGCTATACATAGCAGGTGTTATTTCTTTTATTCAGTATAACAACACAAGATGGCGCCTAAACATCTGATTTTTTTTATAAAGAAATATTATGGTTCCACATAATGTTGCTATTTCGTTGACTAATTACTTTTAAAAATAGGATAAAGACAATAACAGAGGAACACTATTTACATTGATTTTATCTTACATAGAAGTCCACACAGTCCATAAGTTAATTAGTACAAACATTAGTGTTTGGTAAAAATGCTTGAATCCGGCTGTTTATTTTGGATATTATTACAGTACAGACAAGATGGTGTTATATTTTCTTTTAATAATTGTTAAAAGTGATTTTATATTGGAATACATTTAGTCCCATTATCAGTGTTGTGTTTTGTAGATTTACACTAAATGTAAATACAATAAATGTATTTGCCTTTCATTGAATGTGTTATTTTACAATGTTTCATGATACAGAAAGAGCATTTAAAAAATAAGAGTGTTTTTCACCTGTTTACTTTTGCAAAATTCTATATCTTATAGAATATATCTGATAAACAACATCTAGTGTGTGTAGTGCTTATAAAATTAGTATAAATGTAGCAAAAAATGCTGCTTTTCTGTTTAAACGAAATGCACCCGTCAAGCATAAAAAAGCATGCATATTTTGCATAGTTCAAATGACATTAATGAAACTTTGGACCAATAGTGTCCCTACCAAAGTGGAAATCAAAGCTACGCCCTTGTTTGTGGATGAAGCGAGTTTAGATCTGACAAAGTGAAGACCAAAGCTAATGGTTCACTTAGCCGTTGTTGATCTCTCAGGCCAGAGTGGAGGCAATGGGACCATTTGTGCTGAGTAACCATGGCGATCTCCGGTAACATGACTCGCTGGAGCCATTTAACACTCAGCACCTACTAACCTTACCTGCAAGCTCTGCAGGACGAGGTGAATTACCAATGTCCTTATGTCATTATTTGGGACACTGTCAGCTTTCATTGCACTGCTAAAATATGGGAACGGTTTAAAATCAATAAAACAAATCATGAGTCCCACCGAGGAGCTCTTCTGCAGATGGAGATGGAAACGAGGAAAAAAGTATATCTCTGCTTTGTGGTTAAGTTGTATTTAAGATGCTTTACATTTAAGTCCAAAATACAAAATATATTTGCTATAAAAAAAAGATCTAAAATTGTGACTAACATCCAATAGAAACTTAAAAGAGTTTAAAACAAAATTCATTGTATTAAAGATTTAAATAAAAGCGTTATCTAGCTATTTTATTTAGCTATATATTTAGTTTTCCAATGCCTTTTTGCAATTCCTTTGTAAGATGGAGGCAGCTTAATTGCTGCAGATCTCATTTGGAATATATAGATTTTATCTTATTTTCTCTACTTGTTAGAGCAAAAACAAAAAGCTAATTCTAAAATGCTAAATGATACAAATACTTTAATATTTGTTATATTTTTTGTTCTTTTTTCTTTACTTCAATATTACATAATTTGTAGCTTTTTAATTTTGCAAATTTTTTTTTTTACAAACATTTAATCGCTTTTTAATTTGTCAGCCCATAAATTACCAACAGATTGATTTACATTTAAAACCCCTTTAACATCAGAGAAAACCATTGGCGGCTGGTAAAAAATATTTTTGGTGGGGCTGATATAGCCTAGTTTATGTCTCCAACTAATCCGGAATAAGAATTCAAATAAACAATTGGACAATACATACAATTTAACAGTAATGATTTAATTTACTATATAATAACTAACAGTGATGATTTGGGTCACTGTGACGGGGTTCTTTGGCCTCCAAGAATCCAGGCTCAGTCGGGTTACCGGTGTTGGTGATTTATTGTGCTCAAAAACTCAAAACAGGGTGCAAAAGAAACTAAACATATACAAGATACTCTGGGCCTCAGCCTCCCTCCAGTTACCAGCAATGTAACAAAGAAACAGAAAACAAAAATTGCCGCTTTTCTTCCCACAGCCCTCATTAAATAGTTTAAGCCCCTCACATCAGGCTCTCTTATTTCTGATTTCTTCTCATTAATCAGTTTTGTCCATATATTACCTCCAAAAACAATTGATGTACAAAAACAAATAATTTTTACAACTTAATTCTTTTACACAGATTCATTGACTTATTCAATTACACCAAACTGGGTTTGAACCCAGCAAAGACGCAGCCAGACTGAAGATGACAAGTCCCCGCATAAACACGTACACACCCACACCCCCCCCACACACACACACACACACACACACACACACACACACACACACACACACACACACACACACACACACACACACACACACGGCTAACCCCACTGAAATATTAAGTGTGCACCCTCAATACGCCAGCAGGTAACCAGGAACAGCTTGTGTGTTTTAAGTTCATGGAGCTACTGGTCTCAGCGCGAGTGTATTGGTCCTCACAAGCACAGTATAACAGGAATGTGTGTGTGGCGCGCAAAGTTAGAGAGGTTGTTTTAAGCGACGAGGTGGATTCGTCACAGTCACAATAACCATGACATGAAATGTTCATATCCTACAACAGGGATGTTCTTCTGGCAAACGGGTAGATAAATAAGGATCTCACCGAATTTGGTGGAAGCTGCATCTCGGTCGTTACATTCGCCATCTTCCCTCTAATTGTGTGCACCTGCGCTTGGGTTCAGAAGCCTGTTAAAGCGCAGTATTTTCAGCGCCCCAAGACCATAAAGTTCCGAGACGCTGATTGGCCATTAAATTCACCTAGCAATAGTACATGATTGACAGATTCTCTGCAAATGTGGGGCTGTCTGATCACAGCCCCCAGAACAGAGACGGTAGGAGTCTGTCTGTGGAAATCCACAAATTAATGACAGTAGATAGGGAAATGTAGTTTATATAATTTGTTTTGCTTATAGGTACACAGTCTAGAGAGTAAAACTGACATTTATGAGTTAATTTCTAAAAATATATTTTACGTTTCTATCTTCTTATCAGGGTGAAAGAAAATTCTTCTTATCAGATGAAAGAAAATCTAACCATTTCTGATAGAGGAGTTCATTAAAAAATGAGAGCAGCAAAGACCTTCTACACCCACCTGTTTGATTGGAGAAGGCGTTGTCCAGACTTTTGCTCAGAGGGGTAGCAGGGAGGGAGAGCGACGCTTGCACAGCACAGTCCATCTTGACGTTGTCCTGCGTTGGGGAACTCGGAGCCGACATCCGGCCAATGTCTTTCTGCCTTTCTCGCACTGCCAGCTCCTGCCGCAAATCTTTAAACCCAGCAGAGGACAAGCAGGTTGGGAGAAGTTGCAGTTCATTTACGTTACGGTACTATTAAAAATCTTTATTTTCTTAATATCTGTATGTCAATAAGATGAGTGATATAGTGTATAATTTGTAGGATTCAGCTGGTAAAGACCTCTAGCTTCCTCCTTTAATCTTTGAACTGAGACCAGCAGGGACTCCTTCTCATCCAGCTCGCTCTCCAGGAAAGCATTTCTCTCGATGGCCTGGTTCAGTCGCTGCTCAAAGTTCTCCAAGGAAACAATAGTGGCTCTGAGGAAATGACGTGTGATCACATTAGAACTATGATCTAAGAAAGAAACTAGAAACTATTTTAAAGAACAAAACATCTAAACAGACTAATCTCCACAGGTCACATTTTCTTCAATGTTATTTGTACACAATTTAAAACAGAAAAGTTAATGACAGTGCAATAAAATAGGCTAATAACATGCACAAACCTCTTGGCTCTCTCCAGGTCATCGTTCGACTGCTCGAGCTCTCTGACATATTTGTGGAGCTGCTCCTTGATGCTACGAGTTTGGCCAAGGTCATCCTCCAGCCCTGAGATCTGCTTGTAGCTCTGAGAGTATTGCTGCTCCAACCTTTCCTAAAAATCGAGGCGAAGGGCGGACTTAGACAGATGGATTGCATTTAAGCTTGCAGTGTCATTTTAACCTCTACAGAGACTCATTTAGGTTTGATTTTTTTTAGCTCCTATTTCTCGTCCCCATTCCTCTTTCTTTATTGTTCCCTCTTTTAGCCTATTTCATCTTTGTAGAAGCTATATACTGTGACCCATATACCCACCAGACAATAAGCTCAATAAAAACCACAGGCGTTGTGTCTGACCCAGATATGCTGATGAATTGCTGTCTAAACTGATACCAACCAGCCTGAGCAGAGACTGCTGGGCATTCCTCACCTCAGGCGATCCTTCCAGCTTTTATGCCATAAGCCAAGATTTTAATTTTGAATATTAGGACCAAAGCCCATCCAGATATAAACTTTGAACTTTGGTGGAGGAGGTTGCATTTTTTTCTGCTGCACCAAACCTCTACACGACAATGCTACAGGGACATGCAATCTTTCTCCCAACTGTGCTCGGGGACAAAAGGCATTTATCTACAAACATTCATCCTCTTTTGCCGTAGTGTCTGTGCTGGAGTTCCACATCAAGGAGAACAAAGAGAAAAATAACTAAATGGACTTTATTCCCAAATGCCTGCTCAAGTGAAGCAGTTCTGAAGCCTTGTTCAGAACCAGATTGCTGAAAAACAGACTGTCTGTAATATTCTCTTTGAGTCTAAAGGAGCAAAGTAATTCAGAAGTCCCAGACTTTAATCCACAGCAAAGAGAGATCAAAGGACAAGGTCCTCCAGGCTAGCCAAAGACCCATCCAGCAATAGCTTTCCTGACCGTTGGAAACTCCTCACCTCTCCTTAACAGAAACGAAAATTGGGAAAGAGTTTCCAGCTTAACAATTCTGTTTTTTGATTCATTTTGATAATTTCCTATGTCCATTAAACCTCCAGAGGGAAGAGCCTGGAAACCTTACGAGGGAGGCGTCCTGGAGACATGCATAACAGATGTCCGAACCACCTCAGCCGACTCCTCTTGATATAAAGGAGAAGCGGCTCTGTTTGGGAGTGCCTTGTATCTGGGAGGCATCTTGTTTTTTCCAATGTGACCAGATTGCATGACCCTCGGTGAGCCTAAGAACAACCGGCAAATCGAGATCTTTGTCTTTTTAGCTCAGCTTCCTCTTCACCACAACAGACCGATGCAGCATTTGCACTGAGGCTGAGCCTTATGAATTAATTACTAGCACTGTGTCTGTGTGTAGAGCGGGAATGGGGGCAAGCAGGTTGCAAGATAAAAAAAGGGGGGGGGGTTCACATAGATTTCCAGCCTTAAATCCTCACTTAACAAAGCAAACACTAAAATACTGATTTAGCACTAAAACAGATACAAATTGCTTTAAAACCAGCGGATGAAAACGATCTAAATTTTTCCCATCACAGTTGCATTTATCATATTTGTTTGTTTTTTTTTCCTTCACACCGATTAGGTTATTTCCGCACTTACCTTCAGGGTTTCCACCTCATTCTTTAGTCTTTGGTTCTCCGACTGCAAGTCTTTGATGCGGTGTTCGGCCTGACCCAGCTGAGCCTCCAGCTCGGCCTCCAGCTCCCTGCTCCCCTCCTGGAACTCCAGCAGTTCCTCCTGAGCCTCCTCACAGCTGTGAGCAGACATGTGAGAGGCCATTAAACCGCCAGTTGGGACAGAATGGGGTCAGGATGCAGGGCTGAGAGGCATGAATCAACTACTGCAGCTAAAAACTTTATTTCATATCGCTCTGATAGCCAACACTAAAATAATTTCTTACATTACAATTATTTCTAAAATTGTAGACTGTAAAAAGAACAGAAATAGACAAGGTACAAAATTCATTATTAAAATAAAGTAGAATTCCTGATCCAGATCTATGGCTTCAGACTCTGCTTCCAGACAGTAGTTGCTTTGTTAATGTATTTTAAAGCAGACATGAATATAACTTTCCAGCTGTTCTTTTGGCAAAGGTGTAACACACCTGAAACCCTCAGTCCACCATATAAAAACTGATCCTGTGCATCCAGAATATAAATTTACTTAGAAATAAATCCAACTGCTAAAGTAGGGGAATGTGACTTTAGCTCAGCTTTACCATCAAGTTTTGATTATCTAAGAGTCTGCTGGTGTAGTCAGGGACACATACAGACCCAGCGGTCTAAAAATGGCATCATGTGAGCTGAAATGTTGCTGGTGGCACGGAGCCAGGTAATCCATTTGTCCTCAGCACACTGAGGTGACCCTCAACGACGCTTTAAGCCGGTTTCTCCTGGAAAAGTCAGATCCTACATATATGCACACATAAACCTTCCTATCTGTGGAAATGAAAAAAATAACACTTGTTGTAGCTCTTTAATTTTCATTATATATATAGTCTATTTAGACTTGAATTTGCATTAATGTTCATAAACTATGACACCATTTAGCTGAGCTCACAAACTTACTGTATTTTATCATAACCCAAAGGAGGATCAGGCAAGAACACCTTCTTCCCGCGCTTTAGTCTCCTCCACATGGAAACCCATGTTATTATTAAAGTGTTTTGTAATATTTTGCTATGTAAGGAATGATTCTGCAGAGGAAAAAAAAAGGTCATCATTTAATGAAGTTCTTTAAAGGAAACCTCTCATCAGATCATCTATAAATAACCGGCTGCCTTGGCTTTAAAGGAAGCTCATTGTCTGAAAACTTTCCCTCAGCTGGGCGTTGGATGGTGCAGGCTTCCTTTGACAGAGTTCAGTTTAATCTAAACAAGTTATGTATTCCAGTTAAAAGAGTCGGGTAACTTTAATAGCCTTTAGATTAAGAGAGAATCCTTGTGCAAAAATAGGGGGGAAAAAACAACAACAACAAAGAGACACAGAGGCTCTTTATATCCACACTGAAACATGAGAGACACTTTCCCTGCTCAGTGGGTAGAAGAGTGTCACTGGAGATGGAAAAACTGGTTTCATTTGAGAGCTCTGAATGACGAGATAAAGCATTCCTAAACTGTCCGACACTCCCATAAAGACAAAGAACCCACAGCGTTTCTAGCAGATCTATCAGCCCAAATGCAGCTAAACAGTCTTTAATGCAGAAACAGATAAACTAAATATGTGTATTTCTAAACAAATGCCCAGAAGAAATACCAGCTCTCTAACAAATAGACTCAAAATACAACAATGTGGAGCAGCGCATCTGTATCATTGACTTTTTTTATTTATTTCTGAAAGCTATAAAAGCACTCATAGAAAGAAAAGATCTGTCGTTTAAAGGGTGACAATACAAATACCAAAAAAAGATAAATAGGACATAGAAAGAAGATGCACAAACTTAGTATGAAGAAAAATGTATGAAGAAAAATGTTTTCTAACAGCTGAAAGCAACTAGATACATCATTCTTTAATGCAAGAACACGAAACGGTAAAGGAAAAGTATCTGTATGACACTAGAAAAAGTATAATGGCTTCAAAAGACTGAACTGCAAAAAATGTAAACATTTCTTAAAATAAATGTATTTACCCTTCGTTCAGGCAGGTCAGTGAAATAATATGCTATTGGGTTGAGTACTTTTGTCCCTAAAATAAGAATTATATAACCTACACATGAAATAACACAACAGAGGGGTTTTATTTTTGCACAAAAATCTTATTTTATAAACAGATTTTCCTCACCGACTCAAATAAAGTGCAAATCCACTTTTTCAAGAAAGGTTTACTTATGTTTATTTGTCTTGATGGTTACAACCATCAAACATGTTTTAATCAACTTTTTGGACAATTTTATTTCAAGCTATCCTGATGAACTCAACACTTTATTGACCATTTTAAAGCTTTGTTCAGTTCCATTAATCAGATCTAGACTTCATTCATGTTAGATCTAAAGATGAATGAAACCACAGGAATAGAACCTGACAGACAACATGAAGTAGGTAAAACAGTGGCAAAGCTTTCAAGTACTGTTTTTTTTTATATATATATGTTGGTTTTGTTAAGTAAACATACCATGATCAACCTAGGGTTACGAAAATAAACTTTTCTGCAGGGAAGGGCCTTTAGCTATGTTCTAATTACTTACCCTTTCTTGTACTTGAGGGAAAGAGCCTTCCAGAATTCAATTTCCTCGTCCTTGGAGGAGAATTTTGGCATCATGTCCATTTCCATGGTAAACCAGTCTAAAGGAGAGGAGATTGGAAATTACAGATATGACCTTATAATATATAAGATATGACCGTAACTTTATAAAGAGTGAAATAAAGCTATCATAATTCCTGTTTTTGGGGTTTTACTTTGTAAACATTAACTGCACATTCATTCACACCCATGTTAATCTGAGGACTGTGTGGCTACAGAAAGAAACCTGGTTCTGTATTAAGATAAAACATGACTTAATAACAAACTTTAAATTTGTTATTCTGCTTAAAACTCAGAGGATGGCCATTTTCAGGTTTTTACATAAAACATCATAGACTGTAAACATGACTGGGTTATTTCATTTTAAACCAAATGGGTTTATACTTTTGGAGAGTTTTAACCAGATTGTGACTCAGTTTGAACTTCATAATTGTTTACAGGAGGCCAGTTTCAATTAAACATCACCTTAATCACACTTTTATACAGGATGAAGTTAGACATTTTAAGATAATAAATCAGTGCTGTATAATAAGATTGATGATCTAAATTCACACCAGAGAAGGAGTTTATAATAATAATAAATATATATATAAATATATATATATATATATATATGGTCTGGGTTGTTAAGGGTTAAGATGAAGACAGATCAGATGATCAAATATTACAAGCAGATTTAAGGAAGACTTAGAAGAAAGCATTAATCTGTGACCGATATTGCATAAAGATATAGATAGAATGATAAAGATATAGATATTGAATAAACATATAGAGAGAATGAATAAATAGATCCTTTTTTAAATCTAACATCAGACATTATTGGGGGGTTTAGGCGGACACAGCGATGATGCTGTTGAGCTCAGCTGTCAAAACTGGGTGTGCAACAATCCCAACACACACGGCCATCTACAAACACGTGGTTATTTCACTATTTTTTTCATTTTACTGCGAGAAAAACATAGTATAAAAATAGAGAACCATCGTTACCTGATCATCGCTTCTAAAGGTTTGGTTTGTCAGTCCATCGCTGCTCGGGGCTGCTGAGGCTGGCCGTCCTCCGCTCCACTGAGCGCTGCGGGAATTTAAAGGGGAAAGCGCCCTTACTTTAAATTTAATGACTTATTTTTAAAATAATAATAAAAAAATATTAATGATAGCTTGTAAATAAAAAAGCAAACTGAAGCAATAAATCAAAGAATTACAGAAAATAAGTCTAAATTTTAGTGCTAGCGAACCTGCTCCACGGGCTTTACTACTGCGCACATATTGCGCATAAAGACAGGTCCTTTAAATCGCCGCCTGCTGGTGACCTAAAACCACAGCTTGTCCCTGCAAATAAAGTATCTTCAAAGGGAAAATTGTTAGTATAGTTTAGCAAACAATAAAAGCTAAATATTATAATTCACAGCCATTTAGTTTTTTGCTCCTTGGGTTACAAAAGCAACCAGGGGAGTCTAATGTAACCAGGCATAAGCCAGATTTAGACAGAGCCAGAGGTGTTGAGTAACAAAGTAAAAATACTTCATTACTGCACTTAAGTACACTTTTTAGGTATCTATACTTTACTCCATTACTTATTTTTCTTCCTACTTCTGACTTCTACTCATTACATTCACACAAGTATCTGTACTTTCTATTCCTTACATTTTTTAAACAAACATCACTTCGGTTTAATGTTTATAAATATTTATTTCACGTCATGTGCTCCATCCAATGCAGACCATTGGCACCATCCACATCTAGTGAAAACTAGTGTAATTGGATGAATCATATAACGCAAACACTCATTGGTTAGCTAAAGGAAATCATCAGAAGCAATCAGGTGTTCTTCAAACTGCAAACATGAATTGTCTATGCCATGCTACAATGTTGGATTCAGAAAAAGATGTTGAAATGTCTGAAAGGTCGGACACAGGCGAGAGCGTATCGGGATATGGAGACCAACAAGACCTCCTATCATCCCAAATAATTTTTCGAAAAAGTTGAAAAATTGAGCTTTAAATTCATATATTGGCATCTGGCTGTTTTCTTTTAAATATTACTTTATACTTTTATACTTTAAGTAGTTTTTGGAGCACATACTTTTTCACTTTTATTTGAGTAAAGAGGTGAAGTAGATACTTCAACTTTTACCAGAGTGTTTTTAAAGTGCAGGATCTATACTTCTACTTAAGTAACAAATGTGTGTACTTTTGACACCACTGGATTTATACATGTAGTTCAATCTGAACCCTAGATGGTATTCATCTTGCTTTGAGGTAAGAGCTGATACTGAAGAGGTTAAAAATATTTGAAAAAAATTTTGAATTGAGCTTAATTTTAATACAATAGGCGGTAAAATCTACAACTTAAAGTTTTTTTACAGTAAGGCTGCAGCAAATGTTTTACACAGAAGGTGAAGGAAATCAGCAGAATTGAGAAACTATCAAACAATACTGGAGCTAAATGGAAAGTGACTCAGCAGCCTGCATCGATTTCCTTTTAGTTTAGCTGTTAGAACAGTTATATTTAAAATGCTCTGAGTTTGTGGTTCATCAGTTTCATTACAGCTGCTTGAAAGCTTGTTTAAGCAGCAACTGTCCTTGTTTCCCCTTAGCAAAAAGTATTTTTGCTATTCATACTTAAAATCAGGCAGTGCACTTAGAGTTTACTTATTCTAAACTATATTTCATATACTGAACAATAGTATTGTTAAATTTATTGTGTACTAAAGTATACTTTAGTACACAATAAAGTATTACTTTAGTAATACTTCAAATACACTAAAAGTACTTGTTCAGGTATACTTCCTAAACGTATACTTAAGTATTCTTAATAGAATTTACTTCAAGTAAACTACCTTTTGCTAAGGGTCCACTGTCAAGCTGCTGCCCTTCCAGGTCCCAGTATGCAAAATCTTTGCAACTAAAATGTGAAAGGTAAATATGTGAACAGAATCTGTCTCATCAGGTCCCCGCTGGAAGCTAAGATCGTTTACATGAACAATGATATGGAAACCAGGCAGTTCAAACAGTGGAGCTACAAGGTGAGCTGTTTTATTTCCAACACAAACATTAGATGAAGACGGATGTGACAACAAATGTAGTATCGCTCTGATACTGTCAGGTTTTCCCTTTTATTTGTCACCCGTTCTGTGTTTAGTTTTGAAGCCGACTTGTGTCCTACAGGTGCTGCATTCGGACCTGGTGAAGAGGCTGGAACAAGATGAGGAGAAGAAGATGGCTTGGTTTGCAGTGTCCTGACACAGTTGCTGGAGCTTATCCAGCATTTAGAACCTCCTCTGGTTCAAATCAAAGAAGTTGAAGGTTGAAAACATTTAGGTATACAGTACACATTTTGAAACATCTATAGAAATGAAAATGAGAAGAATGCAGCATGTAGTTTATTCATCTGCTGTTTCATATAATCACTTTTACTGCAGCCCCAGCTGTAAGTCTTTAGGAGTATGTATGTACATTGTAAAATTCAACTCTTAGTTTGAATAAAAACTTCCAGTAACATGTGGTGTCTATAATCATTATAAATGTGGCACGAACTGTTGGAAAAATACTTTGATAACTCAAAAAATTTGAGTCCATGCATGAAGCTGAAAAATCTGAAAGAATTGGAGACTTGTGCAGATCAGTGTGACCCTTTTGGCAGATTTATTTTTGGCCCTGGATGTGGCCAGAAAGCATCAAAAGTTGCTGTTCTGATGTATCTGATCTATTTAAGGGTATAGATCAGGGATGTAAAACTGGTTCCTGAAAGGGCTGTGTGGCTGCAGATTTTCTTTCCAACCAAACAATAGCCCACCAGACTTCATTCCTTCATCATGTTCAGATTGGACTGACTTGATGAGTATACAGGGTAGTGGGCCAAAAACACCAGAGCTGTTTGCAACAAAGACAAAGGACAACAGGGTAAAATAAAAACATGTTTAATAGTTTCAACATTCGGAAGATTATTCTTTTTTTTTTTCCCCCATCTTACACTGAATTCCACTTAGTGACCAAGAGATAGAATAAGTTTTTCAAAGAAACGTCATTTCCTATGTAATCCAAACTGGAATCAACAGCATCACTATAGTTTAACACAAAGATTAAATCAAATGTTTATTTCCTTTTTCAGTTTGGCCCACCAACTTGTTTCTTGAACCTTTGCAAAACGGCAAAAAGAAGAGCGGTGAACATTTTGGCTGCAAGGACTGCATGCACCACAGTGTTACTACGCACTAAACTGGAGAATTCTAGGATATACGATTCCAGTGGATTAATGTCCAGTTGTTTACTAAAACAGGGTTCTTGTTCAGGATGTTGGTATCTGTTTTAAGCGGCTTTGCTTTTGCACGACAAGGTGGAGCATATGAGGTTACGGGAAGGAGTAAACATTTGAATAATTAAACAGAACTCAATGGGACTTTTGCTATAAAAAATGGGAAAGGGAGGTTTAGACGCTTACGTCCTGCAAGGCCAGATCTTTTCTCTAAACAGAAATAAGTACAATCACATTTAGATAGGACCAAATATAAGACATATTTCCTAGGCATGGTGAAAATACATGCTGCAGAAATGCACAAAAGACAATGTTGAATTGAATCCCACAAAACTGCTCATGTTTCACCCATCCAGTCTAAAATGCATGAAACAACATGGATGCCTTAAACACATCTGCCTCTATCCTAACCTTTGAGGTGAATAATGTTGGTACATTCGGCCTGTTTGTGTAGAAAAAGGCTTCATGTTTCAGTGCTAAAAAAGCAGCGGTGCTGGAAACTATCTGGGGAAATTATGTTTTAAAATTAAAAAACATGAATTACTGCTAAACAGGAATCGACACAAAGAAGGGACAGACCTTTGAGTTCTTACATTTCTTCTCTTCCTAATGCAAAATACTTAATTAATACTGTTAATGCAGGCTTCATCTGCATGAATAGGACCTGACTGACTGTGACACAACAGCAGACCAAACTCTGGGGTTGTAAAAACCTTTGAAAACCATGCAACCTGGCCTGTGATTACTTTAATGTCCTGCACAGGTTCACTCCAATAAATATGATCACCAAAAAGTTTATTTATTTCAGTAATTATGTTGGAAAAGAGTAACATATATAGATTTACACATCTGCCCTGGCTAATTTGTATGGTTGATTGCTGATTTAAATTTATAACCCAGCTCCTCAGTAAATGAGAATACTTCATCAGACAATAATTACACATTTTTTTTAGTGCAGAATGTATATACAGGAGTATTTTGTAGTATAGAAATGTTCTGCAGCTTCACAGTTTTAGTCTGAAAGGTTTGGAGGAGATTCCCAAGATATGGACTGCTGGAGTGACCAGTAATGTTTCCAGGACGATGGCTAACACTGCGTCAACCTTATTACTCCTGAATTTATTGGTCTCACCATAGTACTCGTACTCTTTGTCTTATCTTCTTTGCTTTATCAGAGAACGGATAAAGTGGAAAATAGCTTAATAGATAAACAGAATTTTGATATTACACTAACAGCAACCCATAACCACAAAAACAAACAGAGGAAAAGGTCATAAATACCTCATTCTTTCTGCAGAACTTTAAATATAACTACTGAAATAAATAAGTCCTTTTAGTATGATTTAGTTTCTACAAAAATGCCAATTCCCATGTTGAACTTTACAGTCGCTCGTCACTGCTTGATTTTTTTAAAGGAGATCAAATTACCATAATTCATTTTTTGCAACTGGACTCCCACTATCAGTTAAATGTAAATGCAAAAGGAAATTCTACATAATCAGACATTGATCCTAGTACATGCTAGGACCAATCATCACAGCTGCAGGTTCTGCTGATAAATAGTGTATAATGGGTGTTAGCACATTCAGAAAGTGATGTCATAAAAAAAAAGACTAATTATGCCCAAAAGAGTTAATTATCATTTAGCTGCAGGGATATGTCTGGCTTGATAGAAAAACAGATGCAGGGTTGTCTGTAAAGCTAAGAGGGACTGAGAGAAATCAGGATTTTTGGACAAGTGCTTTGTTTTCACAAAAGAAAGAGGAGCTGTTGTTTTTTTAAGTCTTTTATCTGACGTGTGAATGTGACATTATTGTGCTACAACCACCAACCTTAAAACTATATATGTACAGTATGTTTTGTTTTCATTATATCTGAATAGATTCTGATATATTTGACTCTTCCTGCTGTCAGTATATACAGATCAAATATGTACAGATGCTTAAAGATTTTACAAAACTGTGAGAGAAGATGGCAGAGCAGCACAGAGGATGTTCTCAGGACAAAAGCTAAAGGTCCAATAGGTTGGATGGGTCTTGACAAAACCCTCTGCAAAGGCAAGTAGCAAACCGCTGCTCTTATCCTAACCCCAACCTCGTTACATCAGTTTGACTGATTTTCAAGTTTCAATGCGGCAGCAGAAAAGAAAAAAAAAAAAAACTGTCCCTGTGTCTGATTTCCTTTTTAAAATCCTCAGACGAGATTCACATGAGGCGCATATTTTCACAGCTCCTCACACCAAGTAAACTGTACTCAAGACATATATCTATAAATACTCTCATCAAAATAAACAAATGTACAGGTATCTTTGCATTTGCCTCTGGATCACCGGTAAAAAGTGAAAATATCAGCATCATCAGAGTTTCCTTTACTGTAACTGCAGATGTAATGGCACAGTGATGGAAAAAAAAATGCACCCACTTATAAAAATACAGCACATTTTTTTGTTCTGGTGATGTTTCAGAGGGGTTATAATATGACACATTTAACCAATGATCATTCTGGAAAGGAGTCCGGAGCGCAACGCAACACAAACTGGCTTCAGTACTAAGCTGCTGGTAGATCAGCACCTGCTGCTTCCACCCGGAGGTAAAACATTCACTGCAGAGATGTTTTAGGTGATGTGATGGTGTAGCTCGACTGATATAAATCTACACTGTGTTTGTATCTAGCCAGTTATGCTATCCTCCTTCTTTTACTTGAGGTACTTGACCAGTTAGAAACCTCACTTGATTGTGGCAAATTCTGATCATCTCTTGCAGAGCGAGCATAATTAGGATGCACATATAATTCTGACAAACTGACTCACAATAGCAATCAGAGCACATAAACATCTAAAAAACATCTAATTTGTGCCTCAGTATTGAGCTTTACTGAGTTTATGGAACAACATTTTCTCTAAAAGCTCTGCACATGAGACAAACATTGTTCAGCCTTCTGATGTGCAAAAAGGCTTTAAACTCAGTCGTATCATTTTTAGAGTATTTATGAAGATCAATTTTCAAGTCTTGCACAAATTCTCCACTGGATTTAGGGTCTGGACTTTAACTAGGCCATTCTAACAGACATATATAAACCGTGTAGCTGTAGCTCTGGCTTCGTTTTGTGTTAGAAGGCACTCCACCTATATTTCCACCTGATCTGTGCAGCTTTCGTTTCTCTATGGTATACCCATATCATGATGCTATTACTACAATTGGGGGGGGCGGCGATTTAAGGAAATTTCCCCCTCATTAAAATGGTGTAAGGTCTTATCTGACCATGGCCCTTTCTTCCACATGTTGGCTGAACATCTGCAGAGTGGACTCCTCATGTCTTTGTTTCTGCCACTCTTCCATAAAGGTCAGAGTTCTACATGACAGGTTTAAATAGACTCCCCCCACATTAGATGTGGATTTCTGATTATTCCTTTTATTCTGATACTCCTACGGATTTTACCAAGGAAGCTGAATATACATGCAACAGTTTTCAGATAGAAAAATCTCTTTCTTATTTTAAAATACACATTTCCTAACGTCAGAGAATACCTGATGCTCCGTAGTGTAGACCTACTTCCTCAGTAAAGAGGCCAGTCCTGCTCTAGCACTTGAACAGCTTCAACGTGGTTTAATACCAATTTTCAGCAACCTTCCCGCAACTCGATGATGAAATTTAAAAAAGGCCCCACACAGCTTTGTTTGCTGTAATTCTGAACTGCTAAATCTTTCATAAACTACAGTATGGATGTCATGTCTCAGAGTTACCTGCATTGATTAAAAGTGAAAAGCATCTTTATATAACTCTCCTCTTCGTACAAAATATGATCTAATTCGATTTCTGTTGTAAATATGTCAAACAATCTGAAAATATACTGTAGAAACAATAAATATCCAGTGTCTGATGTAATTTTTTTTTAAAGAAAAGCAAGTTTAAGCTTTTAACCTCGTTATCATGTCAAAGGGTAAATCCCTAGAAGTAAAAAATAATGCATTCCTGCTTTTGCTCCAAGACACCATTAGTACAACACCGTATGTCACATCACACACTAGCAAAACACACAAACGCACCACACTCACAGTGAATGCTCAGGCTGGACACAAGTCTGGGGCCAACACATACACCAGCTAGGCATTTCAGACGGACACCCCTGAGGAGTGACGGGGAAAATGAAATCATGGTGGTTAAAACATGCAGTGATGTCATTTCTTCTCAGCTTCACTGATTTCAAAGCAGCAGCAGCAATGAGAGACTCATTCATCCACTATCCAGACAGCCTCCTTTGCGGCGTTAAAGGCAATATTGCCTGTGAATCAAATAAGGCAAAACAAATAGAAAACATAAAAAAATGGTAAAACAATCCACCAACTGCAACTGCACAATGCAAATTGTGGAAATGGAAAGCTGCTTGTGCTGAGGCTCTTGTTTTCACATGTCGGTTTTTTCTGGATTGGGGGCAGATGAGGTCAAACCAGGAGAGCAGCTGTCCAGGCTGTAGACCCAGTGTAGGATCTGCGGTGCAGCGGTGGTGATGTTGCGTAAGGAGAAAACTGTAGGGGTCATAGCACTGTGCTTTCGGACTCCTCCTCAGAGTCCGTCCTGCTTTTGGTCGACTTGAAAAGTGCCAAGTTCCTAAAGGGGGAGATGTGCGCCAGGTCGAAGATGCTATCCAGCTCCATGTTGATGATGGGGATGTCCAAGTTGCAGAGGGAATCTGGCAGAGCAGATAGAGAGGACAGGGATGAGCAGACACATATCTTAAAAATGTCTACTAAAGTGAAACATAAAGATGTAGACGGACATGGATCACCTGGATCAATGTCAGAACACAATAAAGAATCATCCGAGATCCAAACAGGGGATGTGGAATGAATGGCTAAAGGTAAAAAAAAAGAAGCTTGGGAGGAATGCACTGTTTGAATGTTATATCCTAGCATTTACAACATGCTCCACACAAATCATTATCTTTTTTCTTTCTGCATTCTCATTTTTATCTCAGAAAATTTAAATATTATATAAGTCCAATAAATAAGGGCTTCAAAATGAAATGTGGGTAAACTGAAAAGAACATACATGTATTGAAGGTAAATAAACTCAGGGATCTTTGCGTGTCTCTAAGATCTTTGTAGATTCAAACACAATTTTAGCATTGAGGCAATAAAGCTGCAAGCAAAGGCAGCAAATTATGACAGCCATTTTTTTTTTAATTCAAAGTGATGTGTTTACGGCTAAATTACATTTTTTTTGAAAGAAAAAATCTTTTTTTCCTCATTTATCAGTTGGGTAGTTCCATTCATCTCAGTTTTGTAGTAAAAAGCAGTTTGAATTATTTTCAAAGGGTACTTTGGACTGAGCAAACTGTTCTTCTAACACACTTTTTCCTTCCACCAAACTTTCCATTACTCAGCTTGGTTCCATCACCACCTTTTGTATTGGCAACCATGGCTTAACATCTTGGTGGAAGGTGTACATTTATGTTACAAAAATATTTGTACAGTTCTATGTAGTATTCAGATTTTTTTTTTTTTTTTTTTTTTTTTTTTTTTTTTTTACAGTGTCCTGTCTGGCAAGGTGGCAATAAGAATAATTGTCTTGATGCCAAAAGGAGCCCAACAGATTTTACTTTCACAAGTGTAGCGGTATGGCAATTGCCATACTGCTCCACTTGTTTCATGTATATAAATTGCTTTATTATAATTATGCAGGGAGTTTTACAGTTCATATGGACACTGCAATGTAAGTAGAGCAGAAAAACAGAAGAAGAACAATGACAAAACGACAAAATGAGAGACAATGACAAAACATTTTCAGTCTGCTTCAACACCTGTAATGAGATGGAAAAAAAAAATAAAAAATAAATAAAATAAAAAAAGAACAGCACAACCAAAAAACATGGTACGAGATATACAATAAAGCAAACACCTTGAAACTATCGCTAACGTAATATTATTAAGTCTGACATGTACTCTGTGTTACCTGAAGATATGAATGTGGGGTTTCTGTTTGGAAGTGAATCTCTAAGTACCTGAAGCCTAGCACCTGTAGTTGTTTGTGAGGGTGAACTTGTGCATGTAAAGTTTTAACCATAGAAAAAATGCTCAATAGTGGTTGTGGAGAGCCGGAGAGGCACCCCCCCCAGAGCACTGAGTCCAGCGCCGGGAGAACCAAAGCCCCAGGCGCCCAAGGGGACCCCAGAAGCGAAGGCACCAAGGCGGGGCCAGCCCCGGAAACCAGACCCCACCAAGGCAGGAGGAGAGACAGCCACGAAGAAGCCCCCCAGCCACCGCCATGCCGGCGCCCCGGGGAGCCGCGGGGACGAGTCCGCGGGCCCCGCCGGCAGCCGGCCACCCCGAAGTAGGGCCGGGCACCGAACACCAGCCCCCCCACGGCGCCGACCGAAACGCCCCAGCCCCACAGAGCACCGAAACACGCCCCGCCCCCCAGCACCAAGCCCCGGCGACCGGCCGCAACACCCACCGCGACCGCACCACCCAGGAAAACACTCAGGCGGCCCCGCCCCCGGCCGGGGCTCATGCGCATCCGCCGCGAACCGGCCGCGAGCGCCGCGGGACCCCCCCAAAACGCCCCCCCGGCCAAAAGCGCAGCCCCACCCCACCAAGACCGATGCCAACAGCGCGCGACGAAACACACCGCGCACAGAATCAGCCCAAGAGCAGAAAAGCCGCCCGGCGCAAAACCGCAAGAAGAGCAGACCGCAGCCGGCGCAACCACCCCCCCCAGCAGCCCGAGGGGCAGCACAAAGCCAGAGCGGAGCGAACCGCGCCGCCCCCCCACCGGACGAAGCCAAAGCAGCCCAGCAACGTCCGCCGCCCCCCCCGCCGCCCGCACCAGGCCCTGACACGCGGCCAGAGCAGCTCCGCCGCCCCGGCCCCCCACCACGCGCCGGCCATAGCCACTCCAGGCCCCCACCCGCCCCGCAGCCCCACCCGCCGCGATCAGCGGGAACAGAGCAGCCCCGCCATGCCTCAAGGAGGGAAAACCCACCCGAATACCTAGCCAGCGCAGCCAGCCCACCCAGACCGGCCCCCCAACACTACCCCCGCCGGAGCCGCCCGGACCCCCACACACCAGCGGCGCGCCGCCAGCAGGACCCCCACCCAGCAGGCCCGCCCGCCCCCCGAGAAAACAGACATGCCAAACCCCCCAAAGGAAGAAGAAGAAAAAAAAAAAAAAAAAAAAAAAAAAAAAAAAAACAATGCCCCCACAATGCGACAGCGGACACCAGACACCGACCCGCCCGCAACCGCTCCCCCCCACCGAGGAAGAGAAAAAAAAAACATAAATAAATAGGTAAATTAATTAATTAATTAATAATTACAATTAAAATAAATAGGCAAGAGGAGAAGTGCGAGCGGAAAAACCGGAGCCCAAAACAGGACCCAAGACCCGCACCCCACCATGCCGTGCAGCTCCCCCCCCCCCCCCGAACCGGTACCACAGAACCCGCATAGGAAAGAAACACCGCCCAGGAACCGGCATCGTAGCGAAGGCACCGGCACCGACCCCGAAAATCCCCGAACAACACCCAGCCCCACCCCGAAGCGGATCCAGTCCCAGGCCCCAGGGATCCGAGGCCCCAAGGGCACCCGATCCCCAGACAGGAGCCCCAGCAAAGCCCCGGCCGGCCGGGGCCAGCGGAGAGGCCGCCAGGAATGAGCCAGCAGTCCCCCGGGCATCCACCCCCAGCTCCACCAGTGCACCGGTGAGCCCCGACGCCAGCCAGCGGAGGGAGAGCAGGACGGGGGGAATGGGCTCCGCACTTAGCGGAGACTTGAGATGTATTTGGGAGAGGGTGCGGTTGAGACCCCAACCTGAGAGAAAAAAAAAAAAAAAAAAAAAAAAACACACCATCTCAATCATGCCTTCCCTCCCTAGTGCCCCCACTCGTACCACAGGAAAAAAAAAAAAAAAAAAAAATTGAATAAAATAATAATAATAATAAATAAAGAAAATAACAACGCGGACACACATTCACACATAACACTCACATCCAATAATACCAGGACCAAAAACCCGGTGACACCGGTGGTCGGTCCCGGGACTATCGGATGACCCCATAAGTGAACCTAAAATCCGGATGTGAGGGGAGGGGAGCGGCGACACCGCCACACCAACCCATCTCTTTCCTGCTTCAAGCCCGGCCCCCCACCCCGCACATGGACCGGACCACCCCCAGCAAGAGCCCCCCCCGGGACCGGGGCCCACCCATCCCGCGCCGGCCACCCAACCAGAACCGCCCCCCCCCCCCGAACAGAAAAAAAAAAAAAAAAAAAAAAAAAAAAAAATAAACCTTCAACCAGGCACTTCATGCCCCTCCATCCAACCTTCTTTGGGGAGAGCAGAGGTGACAGCCCCGCCACCAGCAGGCCACCTAGGCCCCGCAGCCAGCCCCAGCCAAAACCACGGACCAGGCGGCCCGCTCTTCCTCCAGGCCCCAGACTCCAGGCGGCAGCCGGAGAACAGGGGTGTGAGAAGACCCCGATCCTCCCTGCGCCCGCTCGGATGTGGTGTTGTTGCGTGTTGCTCTCAGATGCAATTAAAACTGGGAGTACCAAGAGGGGGTGTCCGGCACACTCCACCCCCCCTCCAGGAGATAGACGGTGCCAGCACACCCCCCCCTTCGACAACCCTCAACCCTCAATGTCTAGATGCGAGAGGGGATGGAGGAGGCCGACCGTGGTGAGGCCCATAAAATAAGCCCCCCCCCCCCTGTGGCCCTGACCCCCACCCCCCGAAAATGCCCTACATAGATGTGTGTTGTGAAAATGATGTAGATGGAAGTGTCTAAAATGCAAAATAAAATTGGTGTGGGGGACGTCATCAGAAGGTGTGGCCCTCCAGTAACGACCCCCTCCCCAAAAACCTACATGCAGAGTGATGGAGCAGGCAGAGGGAGGATTTCGGGGATGGGGAGCAAAGGACTGGGGTGCTTGCTGCACTCCCAGGGAGCCAGCTCCCCCGCTGACTCCAATAGGCACCCCCGTTCCCCGAGAGCCCCCCCAGAGAAGGGGGCCCCACCAGTTTCACCACCATAGCCCGGGGGCACGGGACCGGCAGCAGGACCCACCAGCCAGCCGGGCACGGAGCCGACACCACCACCACCCCCCCGTCCTGTCCATCCAAAAAAAAAATAAAAAAATAATAAAAAAAAAAATAAATAAATAAGTAGATAAATAAAAAAATAAAAATAAATAAATAAATAAATAAATAAATTAATAAAAAAATATAAAAGGAAGATAAGAAAAAAAAAATAATAATAATAAATAAATAAATGAATAAGGGGGGGGACAACCCCAGCCGGCCAGCCAACGCGCAACACGCAGAGCCCCCACCCCGGACGAAGCCCCACCAGGGGGCAGCACGGACCAGGACCAAGACAGGGACCACCTTTTGTATTGGCAACCATGGCTTAACATCTTGGTGGAAGGTGTACATTTATGTTACAAAAATATTTGTACAGTTCTACGTAGTATTCAGATTTTAAGAGAAACTGAATCTTAAATGCATAATATATGCTTCTCTATGTGTAATGATAAGGGCTCAGCTCTTTGCTCGCTTACTTTAGAGACACAGAGACATACCCATGCTGGATTGACTTTTATTCTAGTTGTTTTTCAGTGTGATATAAATCAAACTGAAGTGAGCAGAGCTTTCCTAGCTTTCCAAGCTTGAAGGATCTTTACAGAAGCACCAATTATAACCTGCAAAAACAGATCTTTGCTCTAAATTTGGGAGGAAAAATGCAAAATATTGACACTAAAGCCATTTATGCTAACCTATGATTGGATAAAAACCTGTGCCTATCTCTGAATGTTAAAATTAATTAAATTTCTTACTTGGAGAAAGTCTGAGCCATGTTTTAGCATCAGACATATTCAGACTTTTAGTCTGAAGGATTTCAGTTTACTTTATTCTAAATCAGGGATCTTCAACATTTTCCAGGCTAAGGACCCCAAACTGATGGCGACATGGAGCGGGGACCCCCTAAATATATATATTGTATGAAATTGTGTTCTATCAAACGTGGTCTTATAGTAACTCTATTACAAATAGTGTCATGTAATGAAAGTAATTTCTCCCTGGGATTATTAAAGTATTTCTGATTTGGATTTTTCATTCACGGGACAGGTGTTGTGAATGAAACGGTGCCCAGCTTGAAAGAGCTCCTGTGTGTCGCCAAATGTGTGCATAGATGACTGAAACACATCCTCTGCCTCCATTTATTTGTCTATTTCAGTGTGTTAAATTAATGTTAATGTGTATGTAAAGACATTTCAATTAGTTTTAAAAAAATTGCATGGGGGATATAAAAAGAAAAGTCTTATCAACCAAAACTTTCTCGACCCCCATGCAGTATCTTCGTGGACCCCCTAGGGGTCGCAGACCTCCTGTTGAAAACCTCCATTCTAATTAATAATAAACTATAATCCGTCACTTTGCTATCAGAAGTTAAATTCTTTAGACTTTAAAAAAGTTCAATCCTTTCATTTTATAAAGAAATTATCAAATTAGTTTGATCATGAGGATATGACTGGAAATAAACAGAAATGACAACAATAATATAATCATTATTCATTATAATGCAGCCAAAACCACAGGATCAGAATCAGTTAAAACGATGTACTTTCCTCCACATCAACCTGATATTAAGCTAAAGGAAAGCTGCACTTTCCTGCATCTTTTGTGGGAATCATGACATCTGTAGTGTAACAAACAAAAACTGCCACATACAGGAAGTGTGTTTATAGGGCAGAGATTCACGATAGCAATATGGTGAGAGTCAGGGGATCGGTTGGAGCTGTGACTGTAGCGACTGGGAGATGGGAATGTGCAGGATTCCTATTGGTGGAAAAGCATAGTGTCTTCTGTGGCACCCATGCATCAATCTCAGCCTTCATGCAAATGCCAACAAATGTAAGCGTTTGGATGTATAAAGGTGATACAGCACCTTCTATCTCTATTTACACCCCTGGTGAAGATACAGAAAAAAAAACTAATCTTTATTTTTTTATGGCTTAGCTTTCAACTTGCAAACTGAAACCTAAAATTGTTTTTCCTTTAATGCTTTTAATGCTTCTTTTTCTTTAAAATTATTACCGGTAAGAGTTCCCTTTGCTACAAACAATCAGAGTCCTTTGTTAACTTAAAATATAGTTTATTAGTAGTTTGTTTAGCAGGTATAAGAGCATTTTTAATTATTATTTCAAAAGGGCTGTTTTTTTCTCCCATGTTTTAAAATGTCTGGACGCCAGAACACTAAAATGTCTGTAAAACAACTCACATGAAAAATTCAGATTATTTTGTGCTTAACGAATCATAACTGTTTTAAGTGGTTGGTTTTTTTTTTGGATCCTTTTCCCACAAAATGACCAAAAGATTGTCCATTTTTAGATTTCTGGTGGAGAAAATAAGATTTTTGTCAAAAATATCCTAATATTTCAAGTAATAAGTCATGGCATTTTTAAGAGAACAGGCCCACAGTATCACGGACCCTCCACCAGGCTTAAGTGTGGCTTTTCCTTTGTTTTAGGGTAGACCGAACCACTTCTCAGAAGAGGCTTAATCTAGTGTCAGTTTAAGTCCTGATAGGGTTTAGCAAACTCTTAACCTTTTAATGTAATTGTGGAACAGAAAAGGCTTTTCTGGAGGAAATCCATTCTGAATGAACCCCTAATATCATTGTAATTCCTGTTCTCTATTTGTAATCTGTTGACGTTTTTGTTCCATCTTAACATCGTCCTATGGTCTGAGATGGAAATATACATATCATTGATCTTTCTTAAATACAGGAGAATTAGGTGAGCAGCCTTTTTTCTGGTGGCCATTTTTACAGAACTCTGATGAATTTGAAAGGGATCCTCCCTTACTTTTCCCATTTTGAAAATAAATTGACAGGTCACATTGGGATTCTTTAAATACTAAAACATTTCAGAAAGCATTGAAATATATTAGACAACCTTACAGTAAAACAACAGCAAATTCTTTGCTTTTAAATTACAGCAATTACTTGAAAAAGGCTATTAAGTATCAACTATAAAAAGAAAGCATGCAACGAGACTAAATAAATGTTCTCAAATTAAAGGCTTTTCATTTTAAATTATTTCATCATTCTTATCAGGGGTGTCCAAAGGAGAGAAGAGTGCTGTAAAGGTGACATAAATAATAATAAAACTGAGCGATGCAGCCGCAGAGCAGAGAAACCAAACCCAGATTCTGCTGCTGGCAGCAGCATAAAGAGATCCTTATAGGCTCCATGTTTAGGTGAGATGGCAGAGGGGGCGAAGGGATGATGGGACGAGAGGAGAAGAGGTTCTTCATAACAGGAACTCCTGCTTACCCTAAAAATGCCCTCTGACACCTTGAATGAAAGTGAACCTCGCCCCTCATACGGCTGTAAGTTGGGACAACCAAAACAGTCGCACAAGAAGGAAAAGTTAGATCTAAACAAAATGAGAATCTGCAAAACATCAAGCGGGATCAAGACAGTCCCTTATAAAAAAACATTACACCAAAAACAGGCAGAACAGATTAAGAAACCTACATAAAGGGTAATATTAATTAGTTCTAAAACTGTTGTTTAAAAGGCTCTTAAGTCCCTCCAGTTGCAGCATATTTAAACAATTAAACCCTTAACAGCATAAAAAAAAATTAAAAATGGCAATAAGGTGTCAATTCTCCCTATTTGAAGTATTGCTAACAAAGCGTCTTTATTCAAAGATATTAGGTATAACATTATGGCCACTTTAGCTGCTTTGACTCGCAAAGATTAATGAAGGCTGCCCTAAACAGTTTTCAGGTAACATCCAGATACCGCAGCAAACCTTCAGTGGTCGAGTGAAGTCTATGATGTGGTTTGATTATAGGTTATGAAACAGCGACCACCACACCTTTATGAAGGTGATTATGATGTTATGACTTATCATTATAAACTTCTCATGTTACCCAACTCATCTTGGATATTTTTAATGTTGACAATATAACGTTTCCCCACAAATGGGGAAACGTTATATGTTTTTTATTTTTATGTAATCTTGTTTTATGTAATCTTTTTGTAAATTGGGTCAAATTAAGAATAAAAGTTACAACTTCACCCAAAAACTGATAGACATTTCAAATATACCTGTAAAACATACCCACTTTTAAATGCTAAATGAAACTTTCACATTTTCACTGTCAGGGTAAAAACTGTTTAGCTCCACATTTAAACTAATATGTTATATTTGACTAAAAAGCTAATCTATTGATAACCCTTCAACTGGGGTTTCATTGACAAAGATTTTAAAGTCAGATTTCATTTAATATTCAGGACAACCAATTATGCGTTTTTAATATTTTTGCATGTTGATACAGAAAGTAATACCTCATCTTTATTCATACATTTTACACTAATGTTTCGCCTACAAATGTATGTAAAAAAATTGGGGTTATTTTCTATAATTTGAATATCGATGTATACCTTTACACCACCACTAGGCGTCCCACTAGAGCAGCAGAGATGTAATAAAAAAGAAGCTTAAACTCCTTCACAAAGGGGTTGATTTTTTTTTAGAATAGAAAACCAGAAGAACATGGAAGCCTATATTGATCATTAGGCCTGCTTAATCATTTTGTATATTTATCCATTACTGCAGGATCTTGATTAAATCCTTCTTATCTAGACTAAACTATGAGATGCAGTGTTCTATTAATAAAACACCATTAAATAAACATATATTAACATTAAGTCATATCAAAATAGGAAAAGTTTGGAACTGTGGCAAGTAATCACATCTAATAAATTCTAGAGACTAAAGCTATTTTTCATAAAAAGGAGAAATAAATTAAAGTGTAGCCTAACTTCTTTCGAGTTTTACTTGCAAATATTGAACTATAATATTGAACTTGTTCATATTTTCAACATATGGACCTGAAGTCCAATGACATTTCCTGCTATATTACCTGTGGACATGCTTTCTTCTGGAGGTAAACCATCCAGGAGACCAGATAAATGCTCCAGAGGCTGAGGACTAGTGCCGGGTGTGCTGGGGGGTTGAGGTGGAGGCAGGCTGGGCCTCTGACGGGGGGGCTTCGGGGTTGGTCTGGGCTTGTTGAGTGTTCCTGCCAGCGAGGGCGGAGAAGACAGAGATGGGGTTGTTGCCATCTGGGTCTGAATTGGAGAACCAATGGTGGCGTAACCCTGTGGGTAGCTAAAGCCATAGGGGGAAGGCGTGCTCGGAGGGGTCGGCGACAGGCTGACCGGAGACGGCTGACCTGTCGACTGGTCGGATATGGCTCCTGACTGGCAGTAAGGGCCTTTAGGTGGAATAGGCGCAAGTTTCTTTGCTAGAATAAGAAAAGAAAGAACCCCAATTAGACTTAAAGCAAGTCCAAAAAGTGTGCAAACCTTTCAAAACAACATCTTTCTTAAAAATGTAGGAATCATGTATAAGAACTATACTGTGTACAATTCAAGTGAAGACAAAATAATCTTTTAGTGTGAAAATGATCAGTCTAAGTTACTCAAATTTGTTTTATTTTATGATGAAACTTTAAAAAGGAACAAATTGTTAACCAAAGTGCTGTGATAAGAGTATAAGTAAAACATCTTAAAACAGACACAGAATAATATTAGACAAGAAAAAACTTGTGGGAAGAAAAACAAAAAGATCATGAAGTGTTGAACTCCCTGCTAAAAGAAAGCATCTTCAAAAAGGAAATAAATAAAACAGTGAAAGAGTTTGCTGAACATATAGAGGTAACCCTCACCACAGCTTAGGGGTTGCAACCATAAAAAAACTAATAACCTGTGAGCTTTAGGGATGACTAAGAGTAGCAGGGTTGAGGACCTTCAAGATTTTGCAGCAGAGCATGAGTGTAGATATTTAAATAGAAATAAAACCAATTTAAAAACAATCTATACCTCACAGCAAATCAATAAAAAGCAGCCAGAAAATGGGTAATATTCTTATCCTGCCTTATCCCAAAAAAACATAATATCTGAAGAGACATTTAGACACAATGTTTCAACAGTAGATAGAATTCATTTCACCAGTTCAGGTCAGCCTCACCTCTCCTTAAACTGTGTGGGCTGTGCTCGGAGTGTTGTGATTGTCCACTAGAGGTCACTACTCCTTGGAGTCCCTTCTGTCCAATCACAGGAGACAGCTCCTTATTTTTCAGAGTGCTGCAGAACAAAGCAGGCCAAAGAAAGAGGTGTTATACTATAGTTTAGTTATGATTCAGAGCTATCGTATTCTGTGGGAATAGTAGAAATTTGAGGAGACCCATAGTTTGATGTCACAGTGTCTGCTTGGCCTCTGCTGCATGGGCAGTTTGTTAATCTACAGACTTAATGGATCTTTTACCCTTGTACAGAATGCAGACAGAATGCTAATGTTAACGCTTAATTTAAAGGTCAGAGTATAGAGAGTTAATGCTCTGACTGTCAGTCCTTGGATGATCATTTCTAGGTCTTCCCACAATGAACAGAAGATCCAGGCTCGGATCGTTAAAGCTGAAAAGGAAATTTTACCCTGATTTTAAAATGATGATTTCCCTAAAAGATGTTTCCTTCACTGGTGTTTCCTGTGTGTTCGCACAGATGGTAAGATCTTACTGGACCTACTGGGCTCACTGGTATGACTCATGAGCGCCCACTTTTACAGGCGTATTCAGTGGGAGCTTTGAATTTCCTTTGTTGCATGGCAACCGTCTCCTGAATATCTTAGCAACATGGATTGTTATGGAATTTCCAAACCAGGCAATTGTAATAAAATGAAGGTGGATATAAAAAAGGTTCCTGAACATTTTTGCAGTCCACATTTGACCCATTTTAGAAGTAATTAAAAAGTTAACTATAGAATACAGATATTTTTATCAATGAGGCGTAAGAAGACAGAAAAACATAGAAGTGAGATATGAAAAAAGAAAGGAAGATGGGGAGACAGGAAGTGAAAAACGAAATGCAGGAAGCAGAATAAAGAAGGAATATTGAGCTGATATAGAAGGAAGCATTAACTATTAAAACAATAAAACTGTGCTAGGCTCTGCAAATATAAATCTCTTCTAACTTCATCCCTCTCCTATCTCTTATTATTTCTGTGGTGGTTCCTATTTTTAGCTGATTGTGTTGGAAGGATGAGCGAGACGGTTCTCCATTTACCTCTTAAGCTTGGCTCCTCTCTCCCGGCTACAGGCAGAGGCTGCCCACGGAGGGGGAGCTGAAAGAGGGGTGTTGGGGGGTTTAGGGGAGCCCAGCAGCAGATCGTGACGGGTAAGAACAAGCGGGGGTTTAATGTAAAGGGTGGAACCGTTGGTTTCGGATGGGGTAGCATGCATAGTGTCGGGCAGGGAGGCCCGTTTGGGGAGGTGAAGGGAGTTAGGTTTGGGGTTGGAGTTGACATCAAGCTGCTGGGGCGACGGGCATGGGGAAAAGGGAACTGGGGGCGGGCTGCATCCGGTTAGGCGAGGTGGAGGGGACGGGCCAGGGATGACTACCGACTCAGGAGTGGGAGCTATGGGGCGCACACTCTGAAGGGGTCTAGTGTAGATATAGTGAGGGAGCGAGTTGGAGGAGCAAGAGGAAGAGGAGGAAGAAGAAAAAGAAGGATAAGGGGGAGTTGGCCTCTCCTCCTCGGGAGAGGGATAGACGTAACAGGAGTCAGACCAGTTGGAAGAAGCATCCTCTGAGCTGTAATGATAAGAATACCAGGGTTTCATGGGACACTGATCCTTTAATGTGACTCGTCTTATTAGAACTTCAGGAGAGAAGGGGTTGAAGCCAAGGTTTTCTTCCATTAACAGGGAGGAAATCAGGTTTTTTATACGAATTTATTAATATTTGAAGGGGGAGGTAGGAAACAAATAGGTGAAATGGAGATAAAAAAAAAACAGAAATGAAATAAAAACTGGGGAAAAAAACTGCATTATTGTGAAGTAGATAGAAAACTGAGTGGAGTTTTCAAATTTGTTAAAATAAAAACAAAACAAACACCATGTATTTACTGTCCCCTCTCCCATACTTCATAGAATAGCTCAAGCACAGTCATAAAACATTAAAAGATCAAGTGTGTCTACATTTTACAGATTTTCTAGTGGTTCTCAAATCTGTTTAGCCCTCGAAAGTGTGGACCATGAAATAATTGACAGATATTTAATTTTTTTTTTTTTTTATTACATTTTGTCATAGTTAAATTAGGTCATTTATTTGCATCAATTTTGATGCATGAGGCATTTCTGTATAACCTTTTTTACACGTTCTGTTCCATACATATGACACTGATGATGCAGAGGTCTCAAAAACTCATGTATCAACCATGATACACCTGGCTTTAAAGGGTTGGGTCTGGACTTTGGCCGTTATAAAACTTGAGGCAGTTTTGACCTGAAAAACAGGGCAGCTCTGGCTAAATGTTTACGATTGTTCCTTCCTGGAACCTCTGACACAGTCTCTAACTAGTTCCCCACAAAAAATTGAAAAGTAATGCGACATGAGATATTAGATTGTGCCTTTCCTCAGCCAAATAGAAGTTACCTTGAACCTGTCTATGCTGGAAGCTATGTGGGGAGTTAGGAGTGAGATGACAGAGAGCGGTCGCCTCCTAACTCTAGACTCCCTAATGCCATGAACGGCAGAGACAGCTCTTTTGAAATGTTTTTTCTGACTAGTGAAAAATGTATGTCTTTAATGAACTCAAAGTTGTTTCTCTTGTGAAGACCCAATGTTCGTGTGTGAGACTTCTCTTTATATGCAGGGGTGGGAAACCACCCCGCCAGAGCCTTACTAACAGTTCGACTGTGAGTGTTGCTCTCCTCTGCAGAGTAAAATAAAACCATTTCTTCCTTGCATATCAACTCTCAGCGCTCATTTCACTTCACGGTAAGTATTTATTTTCTTAAAATAAGTGCATTTTTTTTTTATTGAGCAGTTGAGTGAGACACTTTGCAAATAGAATGAGACAATTAACCTTTTAAAAAAAGAAAAACTGCAGTCTCTTATTTCAAGCGCAAAATATCTAATTATCTTACTTTAAGGGTAAAACCATTCATTCCACTGGCAGATAATCTTATTTACTTACTTACTTACTTATTAAGTTCACGTATTTAAACAAAAAAAAACCTTTACTTATTTTTACATTTTAGGTTTTTGCAGTGTTTTCCTTCATGATTGCCCTGTCTTTAACTTTATCCATCTTCCTATTGTCAGGTTTGGTGGAGGTTATTAGGGAACCCAAATGCAGAAAAGGAGGCTGAGATGGTCTCTTGCAGATTTTATAACCAATGGTGGCAACTGAAGCATAAATCCAAAAATAACTGAACAAGGAACACATGGGTTAAGGAGAGAATGAAGAAATGAAGAGAAGGCAGATAACAGTAGGAGGATTATATGTGACAGGTGTGGACAGAAGGGTCTAGAAGGGAGCTAGGGGAAGGAGACTGACAACAAGGTGGTAACAGAGAGTAAAAAAATACATAAGAACTCATATACAACCAGAAAACAACTAGAATAACACACAATGGAAATGAAACCAATGAAAACTCAAAAAGAAAACTTAAACAAAACCAAAAAGTGCAGAACCATGACACCAATCAACGCTGAAAAGCTTCACTTTCCCTGCTGCAAAAAGCTTCCCCACTGTAAAATGTTCAGTCTCAAAGCCATGAGAGCAGAGCACCTTCTACCACATGTATGCTGCCTGTGCTGCAGTATATGGTTAATGGCAAACTGTAAACATGACTCCTTATAAACTACCTTCAACAATGGCGTCTTGTTTTCCATAAAGGCCAATTTTTGTTGAATAGGAAACCTGTTGCCATTTTTTTTTATTGTTTAGTTTTTAACCCTTTAACACCAAGTTTTCAATATCTGACTTTTTGTGACCTCTACATCATAAGGGTGATTTTTTAAAGGGTTATATTCTTAAAAAGGAAGCAGTATTTTCTTTTACATGTTATAGAAAAAATATCCTTACAGATCCCCAGCTAATGAGAAATATAGATCTAAAAACCCATTTCTGCTTCTTAAAAGCCATTTTGTTGAGTACACTCAATTTAATAGTGTTCTTAAAAAAAAAACTTGTAAATCTTTTAAAAATGGTATTTATATTCAAAACCATTAGCTGGTTCTTGTATCATATTCAGCCAACATTAAGAGTGATTGGGTCCAAAAAGGCACTTGCAGCTCCGGAGCCTCATGTTGCAGACCACTGTGCTAGACAATTCCTGATTGTGATTTATTCTATTGGATTTAATTTAGGGGTAACATGAGTGGAGGGGTTTGATAACAAATGCACTTTTCTGATTTTTATTTTTTTAAGATTAGAGACAATGATTTTATCTTTCTGCATACACATCCTGGACATCTTGTTTTGACTGTTGCTTGTAGCTACATGCCAATATTAAAAGTTAACAAGGTGTGAATACTTTTACATGGCACTGTACATGCAGCACTGTGTTCTTAACCAAGAGTGAGCTTTAACCTCTTTTAGTCTAAAAAATAATGCAAAATAAAATAGAAACGAAAAAAAGATAGAAACTACACAATACTTTATTAGAATTAAGGAAAAAATTTTCATTGAGTACTGAAAGGACGAAGGGAAGGGCAGAAAAAGGAAGGCTTTATTTGGTGTAGCTACGCTCGGCGAGTGTCGTTTGGTTGCAGGGGAGGGTGGCACCAGCAGGTGGGAGGCCAGAGGGCGACACAAGAGGGCGGGGGCACAGCAGCCTTACCTGGCTCGGTCGCTGTTAGTGGGAGGAGGGGTGGGGGACGGGGATGCAAAGAAATCCCCAGGCTGCTCTGGGATGGGAGCGTCAGCGGGTGGGGTGGAGGGGTGCACGTTTGGCGGCGTTGAGGATGTTTTACGCGTCGCCGACGGGCCCCTGCTTGACACCCAAGAAGTGTCCATCACCCTGACACCCATGCTGCAGTAGGACAGAGACAGCCAATCATATCATAGGAGGGAAAGTGTCATTTGATTGGAGGAGGGAGGGAGTTTAAGATTGCCAGAAGGTAAATTCAGCTTTGCCCTAAAACATTACAATCCAAACACAACAGCTGCTTCCAACATCAACTTAACTTAAATAAAATTGTGACTTTAAGCAATGCAACCTGTTCTGCTGCATACTGATAAAGGATTGAGATGAAATGGTGTAAAATGGTATACCAGTAGAAGAAGAGCAACTCAGCTGAAAAAGGTTGTAGTAGCAGGAGATTCGGTTCAGTCATATTAGAATGAGCAGCGATCTAATCAATAAGCCACCAAACTCTGAACTGTGAAGCATTCAGGATCCTAAAGTCATTAATGAAATTGTGGTTAAAGTAAAGAATCAATTTCTAATGGGTTCACCAGGTTTTTTGTAACCAGCAGCATTACAATTTGTTACGTTTCTTTAGGTAAAACTCGATAAATAGCAAAATATGACAGTTTGACAGACAGAACCTTATTTGAGCACCAAGGTGATTCCTAAAGAGCTTTTAGTTATTAAAATCTTACATATAGTAGACGATAAACTAAAGGATGATCCATCTCTGAGTTCCTGAGTTTGATCTTTGCTGAATTACTTTCTCCTTTTCGGACAGTGAAGAGAAAAACTATGTTTGACCTTCAATGTTTTTTACTTGTGACCATTAATCTTTCTGTTGAAAAATGTTCTTTTTTTTTTTTTTTTTTTTTAGAAATTACCCAATATTCTCTAGATTGATAGGCAACAATAGTTGCATCTTTAAAGCAAATTCTGCTTTGTTTCCATATAGTTGTAGTCCTGTGTTTTTTGACAACAAACAACAAAAAGCAACTCAAATGAATGCAGTTGAAGAACAAAAAAAGATAACTATGAAAAATGATGATACAAAGGCAAAAAGTAAAGATGGAAGTTGAATTATGAGTAGAAATTGAATTTTTATTACGAAGACTTTATCCGTATTCATGTAATTTAGAGTCAAATGTAAAAGTTCAATTTTCTATTTTAATAAATTAAAACTGTTTAAAGCTACAGTGTGTAATTTTCAGCGACATCTAACGTCCAGACTGCAGACCGCAGCAACATGAACATCTCCCCCCCACCGCTTCTCCCCCCCAACAGTACGGCGAGCGTTACAGGACAAAATGTCTTCCACGACGTCCGCATCACCTACCTTCTCAAGTGATGAGGTTTGTTTACATAGATAATTTTACAGATAGTATTTCATTAGTCTGTGTAGGGTATAGATTTCAGTACCGTCTCAGTTCATCTCTCTCAACTTGCCGTAGTTACTTTCGAGCGTAATGGGCGATCTCGCAATCGCTAGTTTGTTGGCTCTGCGCTGCCGTAGCGCAAAGATGTCTGCCTCCATGGCTGCGAGACCCGCTCCTATGTAATTATAAATAACGAATTCTAAGGCAACACAAATATTAAGGTTAAGAGGCTGAGCTCGTAGATGATGATAAATAACATAGTTATGTATAATATATTACATTTCTGACTGTATATTCCTGTAATTATTACACACTGTAGCTTTAATGGTTTGAAAGATAATTTATTTGCTTTTACATTTTTTTAAATGGCAAAAATTTCTACATTTCGGTTTTAGATGTGCTTGTGCAGATGTATTTTTTTATTTTTTATTTTATGGTATGTAAACTTCGATACACAACTTTACTTTCCTTCCTTTTTTGTCCTATATTATATTAGAGAAGGCTTGATCAATTGTTATAACTTAAACACAGAAAAAGAGTAAAAAAATGGGCATGAAAATAACTAACCCTTTTATTATCAACTAATGAGTAACTTAATGGCATTTTACCTGATTTATTCTAATTTCTCTTAGAAAAATTATTTTTATATGGCACATTGTGTGGCAGAAGAGGTCATTTTATTAAAATAAATCACTATTGGTTGTACCAATGCAGGGGTTCAAGCATTTTTAGTCTTGGCTTCCAACTTTAAAGTGACACATTTTTTCTGCCAATGGGGTTCATTCTGCAGAGCTTCAAGTTTCCAATCAGGATGTTGTCTCAAAGTGCGCGCACAGCACACCTAGTAAAAAGAGAAGCATGGTAGCCAACAAAGGGAAAGTCACTGAATTTGGACTCGAAACTATCTGTACTGCTCCTAGACCGGTATCTTTTCCTCACTTTTATTACCAGTTGTACACGTCAACCCCTGCGGAGTGGGAGGGAGTTTCTCAATGGTTCAAAACTGTGTAGAATCAGGTACAGCACCTTTAAGAAAGAATTCAGATGCAAGCAGATGTTCGATATGCATGTTTGGCTGACATCCGACCGATTTTCTATATCAATATTTGATTTGGACACCCCTAGTATTTATCACTTTGAATTACACTGTTGTATAGAAACAACATGTCATCAGAGTTAGTGTTTAAATAAGTAAATATCGGATGTCCCATTGAGAATGAATGAAGCACATAATGACCTGAAAGCTACAAAGCAATCTATGAGCAAAAACGAAAGACGACTGCCAGCTCCTTTTAATGTGCAGCTTAAACGACCATGATGGGTAAAGGGACTCGGAGAGACATAAAATAAGTCATACTTTACCTTTGGATCTTCCTTATGCTGCAGTGTTAAAACAGAAACAAGCACAGTGAGGACAGAAATAAAAAGTTTGCCTGTGGCTCACATGTTTTGTATTTTTCAACGCGAAGAATCTTTTAGGAAGAAAACAAAGCATTGCTTGGATTAAAGGGACGAGCCTAATAAAATAAGGGGTTTAAGGAAGTACAACAGTCACTCTGCATATAAAATATGAGCTACTTTAAGTGTTTCAGTGACATCAAATCCAGAGAGAAAATCCCTATTTTATTCTAATTAGGTCAGTTTTTCCCAGATGGATACAAGATAATTTTGCTTTCTGCAGCTACCGTTATTTTTATTTGGACTTTTGCTGCTTTATTAACCAATCTATGTTATTGAAATATGCAATGTGTGGGGAAAGCAGGGGAACAGCACTTGAAAGATGTGTTTTCAGGATAAATATCCAATACAGGACCTGAGAAAAGCAGGTTATTATATACTGTGTACTAGGTTTTATTTTGAAATCATCCTGTTGGAGCTGATTTCATATTCATAGCCCCATTAAACTTGATTATTTTAAAACAGTTTCATGTCAAAATGCCTCTTAGGTTTGTGGTTTAGCACAATTACTCTGAAAGAAAACCCGCAAAAGTCACTCATAATGGACTGAAACTATGTTCAGAAGCAGACCAAGCATATAGAGTTATTTTAGATAGACTGGGGAACCTCTTCTGATGCCCACTTAATGGTTAAAATAAAGTGATCACAAAACAAGCTTAAATCATCCACCTTTTCCAATCATGTTTCGTCACCTTTCCAGAAGTCGTTTGTTCTGTCAGCTCACACTAAGGCTATAATTACAAAAATATTTTTCTCCTCTTTACATCAATGCACTACTTTATGTTGGTCTCTCACATTAAAATCCTAATAAGAAAATCTGAGGTTGTGGTTTGACAAAACCCAAAACTATCTAAGAAGAGTGAATACTTTTGTATCTACGGAGCTTTTGTAATTAAAATCTTTTTTGAAGATTAAACCCAGACTCCTTTCTGTTGGGCTGACACTGACTGAATGTGTCTGCTGCATATCATGTCTCTTTAGAAGCTTCAGTCTGGTTCTAAATGAATGGGCTTTTTTTTCACAGAAAGCAGAGCTCCATTGATCAGTCCAGGTTTAATTAGCTCAGCTGCTTGCGGTCCCTGGGCTGCAGAGCTCAGGCTCCTCGCTGGTCCTGATAAGACGGTGGGTGTAAGGAGAGAATAAGACGAAAAGAAAGCCACTGGCTGGTCTAATCCTCCTCCACAGCTCAAGGATTGTGGGATTGCTTATTTCACAGGCTAAACTTCAGCCCTCTGAACTGTCTTTCTTCTTCTTTTCACTTTTAGACGTCATAATGAGATGGAGGCTTGAGGGCAGGTAATACAAGGTGAGTCATGTCTGTCCACCTCAGACTAAGGCGGCTTATTTCTGAGGTCAAAAGTCTTATCTGATAGGAAATGTGAGATCACAAAGAAAATTTTATAATTGGAGACAGCCATAAGTAAAAACTACACTTTGTCTCCTTTTTGACCATATAGGTGAGTAAAAATGTAAACCTTTGAATAATTCAGACTTAGATAGCCTACTACTTACATTATCTACAAGTTTTTGTGAGTATATCGTTCATTTAACTAGAAATCTAAGCTTAGTTACTTCAAATTAATGTTTCCCTTCATCTCATCTGTTTTATAGCTTCCTTCTCTGTGATGAAAAGCTGTCTGGGATCTGCACAGTGACGTGCGGTCAGGGGAGGCAGGTGAGGCAGTGCCTCACCAGCCATCATGGAAAGAAAGAAAATATATAATCATAAAGTAATTTAAATTGTTATATTCATCCGGTGGTTTGTACTAAAAAATATTCATTTTTCATGTAGCTTCACCAATTTCGATTTTTATTTGTTCAAAATCGCTGAATTTTCTTATTTTCCCATTCAAATGCAGGCTTTAAAATGACAACTGTGAGCTTGGTTAAAACTTTGAGCTCCATTATTAATCCAGGCTTGTCTAATTCTTCTGTACAATTATAATGCAGACCTGAACTCTTCTTTTCCTTTTCACTTGTCTCAACAACAAACTAATGATTGTGCTTACTGAATTTACTATACTTAACAGATGAGACAACTCCCCACTTTGTGAAACCAGGAGGTGGCATCATCATGCTGTGGAAACACTTCAGTAAGAAACTAAAGGTGGTTAGAGTTGATGGGAAGCTGAATGAAACTATTAGAGGCTTCAAAAGACCTGAGAATTGAGTTGGGGTGTAGCTCCAGCAGTGTAAAAACCCTAAACATGTGCCCAAAGGTTCAGTGGTGTCATTTAGACCAGACTTATTCATGTGTTAGAATGGCCATTAGTCCAGGAGGCTGCATGCACATGCATGAAACACCTTTCTCTCTTTTAGTTCCAGAAATGATGAAATTTCAGAAATTTTGACAACTCCAATATAAAATTACATAAAAGCATTGGTATTTGCAGTATGAGATAACTCTTATAAAGTACATAAATCGGTCAGAGCAATGCCCTAGTTCTTCATAAATAACCAAACCCAGAGATCACGAGTTACTATGATCCTATTTTGCTTTTCCAGCTTCAGTCTTATAGAAGATTTTGAGAAAAATCTAGATACTCAAAGTATAACTAAACCACGTGTAAAAGCATAAAGCTGCCCGCAGACCAACAGGAAAATTATAATGCAGTAGCCACCCGTCAACCCATAGAGGGCAGCACTAGCGTTGTCATGCGTCAAATTTTGCAGAATAAACAAGTTTATTCTGAAATGAAAAAATTTGCACAGCAACATACAGATCGTAGATTTAAGGCCATTTATACAAACTGTCTGTAAATTAAAGACTTATTAATAAATTAGATTTGACTCGAGATGACATAATCGTACCCGTCTTTCTTGTAGAACTCGAGCATCATGTTGTCAGTGGCCACGCTCAGCGGCCGCCGGCTCTGGTCGTTCTGTCTGCGATCCATCTGATCCATATCCGGCGACGGCATCAAGCTATAGTTTGCGTTGTGGTTGGTGTGGACTGGACTGCCATAGTTTCCTGTGACATTGAACTCAATTTCTTTTAAAAACAATATACAAATAAGAATCAGAGACGAGACTCAAAACTTGAGATTTAGTAAGAACTAAGAATTGGGATGATTTCAAAGACAATTCTTTTTGTCCTTTTAGCCTTTTATCCTAATTAATTGTGTCCGTGTATTCAGCAGAATCGGATTCCTTTTTGTTTTTTATCTGAACATATTTCAGTCTAAATGTGAACCTGCTGAATCTGATCAGAATATTCTGAATGACACACTTTTAGTCTTTGTGGTGTTTATTCCAATTACTCATGTCCATGGCAATCATAGCCCGTATTTCATCCTGTTCATTTTCCCCTCACCTCCGGGGAAGAACCAGTCGGCGTGCTGGATGATGGGCTCAATGATACCAACGATCTGAAGGGAAACTGTCGTCATCATCTCTGTGATGTTCCTAAAGTAAACAGACAGGAAACACTTATATTCATGTTGAATCAAGGTCACTCACATTATAATAAACACATTTCTACATCACAAAAGTACTGAAAAAATGGAAGTGATTTTTAATACATGGGTTGATTGAAGTAAAGTTAACACTGGTAGTTTTTCCTTGGTGTGTAAATACGATGCAGCTATACTGCGCTTCTTTTTCTCTTCAAAATGTCAAAAGTAAGACAGCGTTCTTGATATAATGATTAAGTTGATCTGTATGGAGTTAAATTTGGGCATTTATTTAACCCTTGTTTTCTTAACTGAAAAGAAATGAACAGAAAAAAATTTGCATGAGAAAAAAGGATTTGAAGCTACAAATATTTGCGAAACTGAAATAAAAGCTGTTAGTCATCATTCCACACCCATGTTATCTAAGACCCTAAGTAAGGGAAAGGAAACAACTTGAATTTAAAACATAGATTTAAACATTTTTTTCCGTTTCTAATAATTTTTTGTGAACTTTTGAGATTGTTATCACATTCCCAAGCATCAGTCTTTCACACCTGAACTGTCTCCTCAGGATAACATGATATGAAATATTGTTATGGCTGTAATCAATCATATATTTAACATACCGTATTATCAGACAATATGAATGATCGTTTAAAACTTAAATTACGTTAACAGACCAACAGTAAATAAATAAATATTAAATAAATAATTGTCAATCATTCTGGTGATATGTTTACGTAAGGCCGTCCTACGTGCTCGTCCCCATTCCCACTTACCAGTGGTGAGTCTGACATAGTGGAAAAATTGCAAATCTTTTGGAAAGTAAGCTGGTAGGATCGATGCAAACAGCAGCTTTTAAACAGAGCGGGCACGAGGAGAAATGGGCTCGTGCACGCTTGTGCACGCTTGTGCATGCTCTCACACGCGTTTAATAGGCGTTCCCTCTCCGGAGCGGGTACAGGGTTGTGCATGTGCATTTATTTTAAAGTGGAGGGCAGATCTTTTTAAACCTATACATTTAATTAGACATCAAATATTGATATGTTTGAGGAATTGTGGCTGGGGGATCATTTCATCAAGAATAAGAAGTTACCAACACAATAATAAAGAATAAAGATTAGTTTGCATTTGTATTGTAGACTTTATTTAGTACCTTAAAAACAATATTTAGTATTTTGTAATATTTATGAAGTTTTGCTCACTTGACCCAAATAATTTACCCTTAAGTGCTAGTGCTACTGTCATACAGTAGATCATATTGTAGGCCTCTTTCATTAACGGAGTTAATTTTGCTATAACTAATTGTGTGCATATAATTTTTTTTATATGTAGGGATGCGTGTAATCACTGTCTATGTATCCTAATTTAGCATACTTTATAAGCAGCACCTTTACATTGCATTGTGTTTTGCTAATGAAGGATTTTAAGCATAAATAAAACATATCACTGAAGTCTTGGTGATAAATCCAGTTGCAGGTTAAATCTAAACCAAAACCCAAGATCGACGCAAAAAAAAACAACTCTTCCTGTAGTTCAGGCCTGGTTTTCAGTAAGATTATCTCTGGTTTCTCACCCTTCATCGTGGGTCCACAGCAGATTGGGGCCCAGGACGATGGCGATATTTCCAGGAGTCATCTTGTTCACATCCTGGTATTCAGTCAGTTTGGAGAGGAACTTGATCAAGTACCTGTCAGAGTAGAAAACGAAGCTATCAGTTACTAAAGCAATCCTAACTGTATAACTTTGCAGAATTTCTCCAGTTGTCAACAAAATTCTATGCAATGGTTTCAACCTGTCATCTAAACACGGGTTCTCCTCAATGGACGATGAAGAGAAACATTTAGTGGAGGAAAAAAACTTGTAAAAAGAAAACAAGCTAAATCCATCTATATCTCATTGTTCAATCCTGTTGCTTTGCTGATAGGCAGACTGATTAAATCTTCTGATGCTGGGAGAAATTAAAACCCATAAGCGTAGTTGAAGGATGGGAAAGAGCTAGTGAGGGCATTGTAAAGGGTTAAACCCCCAATGCTAATGGGATCTTTGCAGATGTTGTTTATAACATCTACTCTCTGTAATGATTTCTGCAAGGTCAGATGGGGGGGCAGTATCCCCCAAACAAATGCTAGCCCCCTAAAATCAACCCTGCCTAATTAAGTAACTAAACAGTACTAATGCTCTGCAGAGTATCGCGATGGACAGGCTGTGATCTTCTCCTGTCTGTCTGCAATCAGCAGAGAGCGGAAAGATAGTCAACAACCAATCAGGGATCAGGATGCAAATCAGCCATAAGAAGCTTGACTAACTAATAGCAGTGTCATATTTCTCTCTAAGAGGAAAAGCTGAATTTTTAAACCCTGAAGAAGCAGAAAAGCTCAATGAAATTCATGTTGTGAGAGATGTCATAAATAGTTACCTATAAAACAAAAGCAAATATAGCATCTATTTTGTGTGAGCCTGTCAGTGGAAGCACAGAGATGTGATATATCGATGGATCAATGAGGGCCAGCCCACTTTGTAGTTTTTAATGCTGTTTTAAGAATAATCAGTTTTTAAGCTTTTCTAAATTTCTACTCCCAAGATTTAGTAGTTCTGTATTTACTATCTATGGCTTTATTTCCTTCTCATTAATATGAGCAATACCTACCCAATCACAGGAGTCAAATTTGAAACCTAAAAACCAAAACTCTCAGTTTATCTATACTGTTTGTTGATCCTGTTAGATAACTATTATTAGGCTCCAATTAGTTTAACATGCCTATTGGCCATCCAGTAAGATAAATACTGTATTTTGTTGTTTGTTCTGAACATCTTAATTTTCCTTCTCATTAATAATATTTCTGTTTACCCCCAAGAACTAGCCATAGCTTACTTTGATCAGGGGGTTTGCCTACCTCAATGACTTTAAGAACTGCCCCAAAAGAAGCTTTACTTGTAGAGGAAATCCAATTTTTGGAGTTGGACACAGTTTGTTTCATTTTTTTTATATCATTAACTAAATAATAAATATGAAGTTAATATAACAAATAGAAGAATTCATGACTAAAAAGGAGCAGAAATAAATATATATATATATATATATATGTGTGTGTGTGTGTGTGTGTGTGTGTCCTATCCACAAAAAAGAAAAAATAGCTATTCAGCTCAGAAGTCTACATAAGACAGAATTAAAATACACAGAAATATCCAAAAAATAAACAAAATTATATTCTTTTAGAATATAGCCCTTCCAATGGTCAATATCCCCTTTTCATAATAATTTTAACAATGTAGAAAAAATTTTACTTTTTTAATCTCATTGTCAGTCATGTCATAAACTGAAACCTTTTACTCAAATGAATCTTTCCCTTCTGCACCATGTTTCTTTGAAAATATCAGCTTTTAGTTCTTACCCCAAACTATTGAAGAAAACACAAGTTGACAATATCAATAAATATGGAACATTTTTAAATATACAAACAAATTAAAAAATCTGGTTCACCCATTTAATGCAGGTCATTGTTGCACAAAATAGCTGTTATTCATACAAAAAAACCTACAGAATATGAAGCCCTCCCCCATTCCTGACATCATTACATTATTAAGCTCATTTAAAAAAAATATATAAATTACTGATTGTTAAGAATAAAAACTCTTTGGATTTCAATTGTCATAGAATCTAAAGCCTGACCAATATTTGTATGAATGTGTGGTATAAGACTCCCTGTTTTATTGAGGCTGAGTGGTTGTTAAGATGTCATGTAATTATCCATTTGCACATCTTTGAATAAATCACCACAAGCTTTTAAGACTGATATGTTTGGTCCTCAGTTCTCTTTGGCTTAAATGGATTTATGTAACACGGTTGTAAAAATGGTTTCCTGAACTTAATTAAAAACGTAGCTCCTCCAGGGAGTTCTGGGTTTGGAGGCTCCTAAAAAAAATCTCTGAACAAGAGGCAGCCAGGAGGAACTCGGATGAGCCAGGTTCCACTACGCCTCTATGACTGAGCTTAGCTGTGCTGCAGAGGTGGTTCATTTCAGCCACAAGTATCCAGGATCTCACTTTTTTATGCCATACCAATAGGTAATAGTGGGACGAAGATGAAGTGATAAATACACCAAAGCAAAGTCACATTACCACAGTAGCCCCAATCCGGCTAGCCCTCTGCTGCTAAGGTAAACATAGGTGGATATATGCTTATCAGTGGCAATTTCTCATTGAATACTAGTGAGGATAAACCTCCCCTGTAGTTTTCTTAAACTTATTGGTAAAATATGCATTGTCAAACTTTATAAATTTTGTCATTGAACTACAATAATTATGCACTACAATGCACCTGATTTCATGAGAACGTGTATGAGTATAAGTATGTTGCTCATTAATCAGCGCTTGAACATGGCCTCCCCTCTGCTCTGAAGCGGCAGGATGCAGAAGATCAGCCTCTATGAGGAATCCCTGTGGAGGTTTGTGCCTCAGTCAGTGAGAAATCAAAGCCCTGATTGGATAGTACGCCCAAAATACGTTACTTCCAGTGAGGCTCAGCCTCTTAGGGCTTATGGAGGAGGGGCGGGTCGGGAAGCTGGCTGCTCTTTGCTGATTGGCAAATACAATTATGTGTTAATGCAATATGTGACGTTTGGATTTAATGAACTCCATTGAGCCCCCCCCCTTTTCAGAGAGCAGCGGTGATGCTTATTTACCCAGAATAAAGATAGATCTATCCCTTTTTTGTAGGGTAAAATAAATTAAACAAAGGATTATTAGACAAATTATCATGGGTATGATAACTAATCTATGGTCATTAGGATTACAGGAAGTATCTGATTTTAGTCAAATTAAAGATGTGAAATGCCTTTAAACATTTTTATATCTAAAAGGAAAATAAATGCATAACATTAAAATGCATGCTTTAATTCAAGTTGAGTATTCCAAATTAAATGTAGTCATCTGATATATTTACATGCTGTTAAATACACAATAAGTGAGATTGTTTGTTTGGAAATATGTAAATAAAATCAAGCACTTATTTGGGTATTCTAATCTTATTTAGGGAGGACTTTTGTGAAGCATAAAGCCGCAGGTTGAGAGAACTATAATCTAAGTAATTTCCAAATGAACATCCAGCAGCTCATCACTTTGAACAACAATCTTCCGACAGATCTGCTGTCAGGAATTCGTCCAATCTGTGAGATTCCACAGCAACCCTTTATTTTCATCCTCTCTCTCCTCTCTTCACTCTTATCACAGCTTACATCTCTTCATCTTTTGATCACAAGACAAACCCAGATTATTCCCCTCAGGTATAAAAAAACAACATTCGCCAATTAAATCGGACAGAAAATGACATAAAGGATATTTTCTAAATTTATCATATATCTAAAACCTGATGAAGAAGTTGTGATCAGTTATTTTTCTGCACGTTTTGATCTTTTCCTTATTCTTACTACCATAAAGGAATTAAAAGGTTTTATTATGACTGCAGATTTATGCTCTTTCCAAAACATCTAAAGAGCAGAGATGTGCATTTTAAATCAGAACAAACAAATAAACAACAGAGATAGTATCTCAAGCTTACCGTTAGCTTGACACAATAATTTCTCATAGGCAAGCTGGGATGAATTTCTTCACTTTACATATTGTGTCCAAAAGATTACCTACTGTGGATCTTATTCATTATAACAGCTATGAAAGAGTTGGAGAGCCACAAACAGGTCACAGAAAACTCAGTTCATGGAATTAACATGCAGTGGGGTATATATCAGATTAATAAAAGGGATCTAAAATAAGGTTGGAGGTCAGTCTGGAGAGCTACTATTTATAGCACAGCTAGAAGGTCGAATCTCCACTTTGACTTTTGGTTGATTTCCACGTTAAGAAGCTTTTCAACTCTGATTCACCTCTAGGTGTGACTAGTGTGACCTGATCGTACGATTAGTGTGAGACAGTGCTGCAATTTTCACTTCTTCTCTGGTGTCCTACAAATTAAAACAATGTTTTGTATTCGACTGTAATATTATTCAACAGTCATTTTTCCTTAATATAAAGAAAGCAGATCGCCGCAGTCAGTCACAGAGCCACACCAGCTGTCAATCACGATTTGTAATTTCTAGGGCGAAAACTAATTTTCTCAAATGCAAATTTGCTCATTGCCATTAATTCTCATAAAAATTGTACATAAATCTGCCTTTAAAATGCAACTTAAGAAGTTTTTAGGAGCAACTTATCTATAAATGAAATAGTTTCATATTCTAATGTATTGTAACTTATTCATAAAATGTTAAAATTTTAAATTGCACCTTTCCCCTTTTTGATGAATGTTCAGTCTTATTGATATGTATATAATATTTGTCATCTGTAAAACATGTTTATGACATTACATTGTATACTGTATTTTAATTATCTGGACCCCAGGAAGAGTAGCTGGGTGTAAAGCACAGCTAATGGGGATCCTAATAATAAATAAACAAATAAAAACACAAAGAAGCGCTTCAAGTCATGAAAAACCTACATACGGTGCTCTAAAAATAAAACAGCACAGGTAAAAGATTTAAATAAATATCAATGATAAATAAAATATAAAAAACAGAAAATAAATTTCAGCCAAAGCAAAACTGTAATATATAATATCCAATCAAAGTTTATGTTTTTAATGTAGGAAGCTCTAGTCCCTTATTCATAATCCTTCCTCGACTATTTTATTTTATTGCTGTTAATACACAGGTATAACCATGAGTTGAATAAGGAGAACCTAGTAAAGAGCCTGAGGAGCCAAACATAAGAACTAAGACCAACTTGAAGTTGTTGTTGTTTGCAGACGGCAGCTTCTCACAGGCACCAAGCAGAGCCTGCAGTCTCTTTTCCTGGTCTTGGATGCTGCAAAACAACAACAAAAGGCACACATTTGAACAGACATGTGAGTAAAGGGTTTTAAACTTTGGGATGATGATGCTATTTTGTGAAGATACAAACTTTGAGGCCTGGATCCAATCATTGTAGAGCTCAAAGGTCATTAAAGGTTCAGGGAGTTCACGCAGGTATGACTTTAGAGCACCTGAAGGGAAGAAAAAAATGCATTTTTTATTTTTTGAATGCATGCCAAAAAACAAAGACATGCCTCTAAGTGTTTGTGGCACATTATAGATAAAATACAGAAACAGTTTAAAGGGGCCCTATGACCTAATGACTTTACAAGTTTCTACTGTACCTCCCCCTAGTTGCATACAAAGGCTCTCTGATTAAATTCTGGTGCTTTGTTGCTTTAATATATATAATTCATGAGTTTTAAACTTTCTTTTTGGTCCATTTGATTGTAAACTGAAGCATATTCAGTATTTACCATCAAATCAAGGTCTTTTAGGTAAAAAATGAACAATCATTATGAGGAGTAAATGCTTTCTGACGACAACCTAAATGGCATCTCAATTTCAGGGTGCTTTATTTATATTAAAACAACTCTGAAAACAGATTTTCTTTCTCATGTTAATCACAACCAAACAAAGCAGACTGGGAGAGAAAAAGCACTTTTCTATTTTATTAATCATGTGGCTTGTTGATACGCGATCTGCCACCTCCGGGGCTTCTCACTTTAGGTCTCTTTTCATTTGTTGCTGTGCTCTTTTGTAAGTTTCCATATTAAAGCTTATCCAGAGAGAGAAAATGTGCTCAATTATCCCCATTTTGTAAAAGTTCTTTCATCCACATAATTTTCACCTCCAACACTATTATGCTGAAAAGAAAACAAGCCTTTTTGTCTCTTATATATCAAGGACATTTTGCTTCAAATCTCAGACCACAGGGATCATGATAAGAAAAAGAGACAAAATGTTCTGTTATATATATATATATATATATATATATATATATATATATATATATATATATATATATATATATATATATATATATATATATATATATATATACCGTATATATATATATATCAATGTTGGTCAGAAGTTTCCATGCTATCAATGCTACTCAGCCATTCTGCTTCTAAGGTAAAAAAAAAAGGTTTTTGTTACTAAATTTATTAATGTTCTTTATGTAACAGGCGTGTGTAAATGCAGAAAAATAGCATCAGCAGGGTCCTGGCATAACTTTGGCTGAATAGTTTATAACACTCTATTTAGCATTATAAGGTAGGTTTCATGCCACACAGACCCAGCTTTTAAGCATTTAGCATTTCTCTAGATGACTGTAACACATCGGACACATTACTGTATTAGAACAGAGGAGGTAGGATGTCATTAGGCCTCTACAACTATGTAGGTTTAACACAATCTGCCAGAGCTCTTGAAATTAAGAGAAATGTTGAAAAAACAATCAGATATCTTAGATTAACAAACATTAACTCACCTAGAAACATCTTAAATCTGTATTTTGGGTCACAGAAAGTACAATTCATAAATTTAAAAGGCATTTTTTAAACCTCTGATTGGTTAACCTACTTAATTTAAACCAATCACCAAGCATATCGAAGCCCCACCGACTGAAATGTATGGTTGAATTTTAATTTCGGATTTCAACAATTTTTAAGGATGTGTGATAAACTTTAAAAATAAAATAATCATGTATAAATGACACATTGAGATATTTATAGTTTCAAATTTTGACCTTCGTGTTTCATGGCGGTTAAAGTTTAATTAAAAAAGTGTTTAATTTAATTTTAAAAAGTGTCTAATTAATTTTCAGTTAAAATCTAATTAAACCCAATTTTTTATCAGTTCCTATTGTAACATCACGATCTCTGATAGAGTCAATATGTAATGATTATGAATAGATTTCTATATAATCTTGATAGCTATACAAAAAAAATCATATACGGATGAATAATATTAAAGTGTAGACTTTTTTATGTGTTTTGGCGGCCAGAAATAACACCTGAAAATGTAATTAAATTAAATGATTTTAGATCCTTTTACAATATGATAATATGATATTTCTTTTACAAAGTATAATTTTGAAATGATGAAATAACATGTCTGTGGATGTCTAAAAGGAAGCTTCATTAACAAGTTTTAACATGTTTCCCAGCTTGTCTTATTCTTGATAAGTGTTTTTTTCTTTGACAGCAGCATTGTACAGCTGCAGCAAAAAGCATGGCTGTCATAAAAAAGATCAATAACAGCACCTTAAAAGCTTTTCTTTCTTTTGTAGTCCATCATGGCTCTGACTTAAAAGCAATGAACTGAAAACAACACATAGAAAACAGATCCTCCCGCTACAGACCCTCTAGAGAATGATACTCTGATATTTCTCTGTTATATTAGAATATAAAAGAGCAGAGTCTTGGAGAAAGTTGTGGTTAGATTTAAATTATTATGTTTGACTGCGTAGATGAAAGTGTAAAGCAAACAAAGGAAAGTCCTTCCTTTCTGTGAATATAAAGGTGCCCAAACTGGAAGCCAACCCATCCTCCAGCCATGGAGGAAGTTCTGGGGAACTGGATCTTGTTTGATTTAGTATAACTAACCTGTTCAAAGACCCAAAGATGACCCATTTTGTGAGTCTACCAAATTATTAGTTAAAATGTCCTGTTAATCTGAAGACCTTTTTGTTTATGAAATGAAAGAGAAAGAGACCCAGAGCATCATCATCCTATACTAGATCAGATAAGATCAGATCTGACATACTTTAATAATCCCAGAGGATTATTACCACCGAGGATTGTCAATACCGAGGATGATCCAGGAAGTAGAGTAGCTAACTTTACACTTTCTTAATTTTTCAAAGTTGGTCGAGAGATAGCATCTAATGGAGACTTGGGGACCGCAGGATACCACCCTCTATTGTTATTTTGTAACAGTGAGCTTTGGAGTCTGTATTTTACCTTTCCAATCCTTCTATTGACTGTATGCAGTGGAAAAACATGCAACAATAATTTATCTGACTCTCTATATGAGCAAATTTGGGCAAATAATTATTTTTTGTTGCTATTACTTTACTCATAAAGTGCAACACACATCTATTGTGTGTTAACTTCTGTGTCTTATTTCCCCCATGAAAAATTTGGGGCCTAAGAATCATTTGAGGATACCAGAAAATCTCACCAACATAATGGATTTTTAGGGTGAGCTTGTACTACTGAGGAAAATTTTCAATATACGGTAATTTCTTCTGTTTACATATTAATATCAGCGAGTGTGGAAGGTGCTGTGTGTGAAAACCCTGCTGATAACTGACCTGCGATGGCGTGTGGGTCTGTAGAGAACTCCTGAACGTCCAACACACCACAATCCAGAGACGCCTTCAGCTTCTTCAGTTTGGAGGCTGAAGGAGCGATTCTGAACAAACCCTGAAAACATCAAACATCAAGCTGTGATATTTGATTAACTAGCTGTGTATCACCCATTTATCTGTTTGTGTGTGTCTGTGGGGGGTATCATAACAGTTTGCCTCAGTAAAAAAAAATATCTTCCATAAAAAAACTTTAAAGAAGCTGTGGAGGCGTAAAACTCTACACTCCTAGAAAGTAAAACCAGGATAATATTCCTTGCTCTTTCATAATTGAACCTAGAGGGATTCTTTTTTCTTTCAGGTTGAGAAATGTTTAGGTGTGAACATCATTTGCAGTTTCTTCAGTAATTAGGACTGACTCAACCTACAGTAATGCTTCCCTTTCTGTTGATGTGTTTTTAGATGCATGTGGCTTGTTTACCTCCTCCTGCATGCCACACTCCAGCAGCATAGTGACACAGGCTTCGATAGGGAAGGCAACATCTCTCCCACTGAGCGCTAAGTGCTCCTCTAAGGGTTTCCCGTAGCACGGCTTTTCCACCCAGGTCTCTGTCAGACACACACAACTTGGTTTCATTATCAGCCCTGGTTCTGCTGTAATAATCCTGAATGCTATTAACAAGTATTTAAAAAATGTGCTGCATAAATTAATTAATTGCCTTCAAAATGTTTCTTCATTTCCCCCAAATAGCGCTTTTGCATAACAATCTAGGCAAAGAAATGACCAAAATATTAAAATGACCAAGACTGGGCAGCAGACTTCCTGCCATTGAGGATTCAAAGATGTTTTCAATCAACCTGCTATAAAAAAAACAGCTTTAATTTGTTGTTAAAGGGGTTGGTTTAAAGTTTGGACTTTCAAAGTAAAGCTCCTGGATAGTCTTAAAAAATCAGTATTAGTCTTTAAGTTTGAAATGCAATAATTCTTCATGTTAATGATCCATTTAAACACAAGTAAAAAAATTATCCTATTTATAAAGTATTTATCCTTTAAACTAAAGTTTCCAGATGCTTAAAAATTATTGAACGCATTATATTAACTTTAAACTATGCAGTCAATCAAGGGAAGTGAAATAAAATGAGATAGAATTAGATTAGCCAGAAACCTCGACTATCAAATTCAATTTTTAGATACTAGTCTTCAGAATAACTGTCTTTGTCTAATAAAGGAGATAAAAAAACAAAACAATGCTTCAAAATTCCACTGTATTTTCAAAGGGTTTATTTAGCGTCCACATAGGACACTGAAGGCTTGATCTTCAGAAGGTTAGAGCGTTTTAAAACCCATGCAGACAAAAAAGGTGTAAAAGCGATTTGTGTTTGAAATTCAGCTGACAGCGTGTGAAAACCTTTATTTTGTAAGTTTGCCTTCATCAATATGCAGATCATATTCTAATGATCAAACTGGGCAAATTCCTGTGTGGATGATATCCAAATGTAAACATTTACAACAGAGAAAACTATTTTCTAAATTTGAAAGTGTGCATCTCTTTCTCATCACAACAATGATTTCTTTTCTCCCTCAATCTTGTTTAAAGGTCTCCACACAAAGCACAGATATGTCATATTACATCTTTATGGGGTCAAGCAGCTGGTGCGAGGAGTTGGCGAAGATAAATCCAGATGGTTAGAGCCTAATCTGAGGCTAAATTAAGGGCTAAATTCAAACCCACCAACAATCTTCTGATAAATTTTATCTATCTATCTATCTATCTATCTATCTATCTATCTATCTATCTATCTATCTATCTATCTATCTATCTATCTATCTATCTATCTATCTATCTATCTATCTATCTATCTATCTATCTATCTATCTATCTATCTATATATAGTAAGAGCCTCACTCTTGCATACCCAGAAATATAGCAAAAGCAAGTTTCCTAAGATTTTCCATGTTGCAATTGATTATTTTGTATCTTTATTTTACAAATTTCTCCTGTCTTTACTCATTATTCTAACAAATATCCTGCATTTTGGCCGAAATTTAAATGTAATGTTTTCAAAGCTTATTTAAATGGGTGAAAGAAAGTACTGAAAATAAACCTTTCCAAGTCACAAATAGAAATCAGTGAAATCAAACACTAAAGGCTAAATCTGGTAATATGCTACCAAAGGAAGACTTTCATACAGATTATTCTGGTCTCTTGCTGTTTAATCCTTTACTGAATTGAAAATTGAGATGCCAGTGTAACAAAAATGCCACAGAGATGAACAGAGGCGGAATCACAAACTGTAAACTCAAACTCACCCTGATGAGCTTTGATCTGTGGCAGCACACTCTGGAGGAGCTCTAATGATTTCCTGTGGTACTCTGCTTGGACTTCTATCAACTGAACAGAAAAAACATTCAGAGACCAAAGGGTCAGCAGGGTATAGCTGGATTGGACAATAACATCACAGCTGTCCATGTGTTGCACTTACTGTCTGGAAGTAGCTTGTATAGTCTATTTCTTTGGCCACAAAACTGTACATGTCTGCTGATAACTGATCCTGGGCGGAAAGAAAGCATTTTGTCAAAACAACAATTCGCACCAACCAGTAAACTAGAAGCAATATGCAGAATATTATTGCCTTCATGTAAGATAAAAGCTTTCCTTGGAGAACAGTAAAACATACTGCTGTAATAAATAAACTAACAATAATAACTGGAGTAAATGCAGTCATTGAGATGTAAATTATAAATCTCACCTATTAATGTAGTAAAAACTTCCAAACCAAAATGGATCCATGTAAAAAAAAAATTTAAATTGCATCCTAACCGCGTTTAAACGTTTACAATAACTGGTTAAAATCAAGTTATAGCAGTTTTGGGAAACTTTAGTTCACTTTTGAAATCAGTCACATTTGTGTTTAGACATTAACAGCCTGTTTAAAAAATAAACCACAATATTTCAACTGGTTTTAAATCCAGACTTTGGTTAGACTACCCAAAATCTTAAAAATTTTTTGGAGCCATTCAGAAATTGACTTTCTTCTCTGCTTCTGATTGTTGTTCTACTCTGTAAATCAGGTGAGTTTAATTCATCTGGGTTAAAGGGGAGGGCGTTTTTTTACATTTGGCCCTTGATTTTACATTATTACATCATGTTCTACTCACCAATATGAGTTTTGTGATATTCCGTTAGGTTATATCCAAGTAAAGTCTACCTATCTATGGGCAAACGACTTGAAGGCACAAACTAAACTGTTCATAAATTGTTCTTTATGGTACGCCAGCATTCATTACATGTAGGCGAATCACTGTCCCCAAGACATCTGCGGTTGTATTCTTTATATTTCTATTTTTTTTTAAATAAAGTGAGGTGTGTATGACGTCATCCGTGCGTGTCGGCTACCGTTCATTCATCCTGTCCACTGAACTGCTGCTGGTTTTACTAACATGCCTAGAAGATGTCTAGTGCTACTACCACAGATGATCTCGCCCTCTAAGATTAGCTAGAATGAATAGAAGGGGTAGAGTGTAGCCACCTGGTGTAATGTACATTGGTCAAATAAAGTTTTTTTTTTTGGAAAAAAAAAAAACAACTCCAGTCCGGCACACGGATGACGTCATGCATACACCGCTTTGTTTTTAAAAGATATAAATATAAAAAATATAACCATGGTTGTCTGGGGGACATTGATTCTCCTACATGTTATGAATTCTGGCGTACCAGAAAGAATAAATTATGAACAGTTTAGTTTGTGCCTTCAAGTCATTTGCCCATAGGAAGACGTTACTTGGATATAACCTAACGGAATATCTTCAGAATGGCTCCAAATGACACAAAACTCATATTGGTGAGTAGAACATGAAGTAATAACGTAAAATCAAGGGCCCAATGTAAAAAAAACAAAATTCCCCTTTAATGTTCACCAGCTAAAAGCTGGACCTTCGCCTTAAAGTTTCTCTGTCAGCCATTCCGCCAGTTTTCAAAGCTGCTCAATATCACCACGTTTTGGCCACCATGCTTTTTATGGAAGTATCTACTTCTTTTTAAGATTATTCTAGTTTTACACCGAACGGAATGAGATGCAGCTTTCAGTCCTACTGGGTCAGTAATGGTTCAAACTCTTTAATGGTCCGCTCACTTTCTTCATGTTGAATCATGAATTTCAACCTAAACAAAACTAGGTTAAACCTGAGCTGCATTTTGCTTTGTTTGTGAACAAACTTGTTTTTTTAGGTTGGCTAGTTCTTGCTTATTTCTGTTTTCTACATTTATAGAAAGCTCTTTTGACTGGAATCCGAAAGCCTCTGAAGTTCTCTGTAACTCTTTCTTGGCTGGAAGGGGGAGTATGTGTTGTTTGGAGCTCCTTTAGCCTACAGGTGCTGGTCATAAAATTAGAATATCATGAAAAAGTTGATTGATTTCAGTAATTCCATTTAAAAAGTGAAACTTGTATATTATATTCATACATTACATACAAACTCATATATTTCAGATGTTTATTTTCTTTAATTTTGATGATTACAAATGACAACAAATGAAAATCTCAAATTCATCATATCAGAAAATTAGAATATTGTGAAAAGGTTCAAAATTGATGGCCCCTGGTGCCACACTCTAATCAGCTAATTAACTCAAACCACCTGCAAAAGCCTTTAAATGGTCTTTCAGTCTAGTTCTATAGGCTACACAATCATGGGGAAGACTGCTGACTTGACAGTTGTCCAAAAGACGACCATCGACACCTTGCACAAGGAGGGCAAGACACAAAAGGTCATCGCTAAAGAGGCTGGCTGTTCACAGAGCTCAGTGTCCAAGCACATTAATAGAGAGGCGAAGGGAAGGAAAAGATGTGGTCGAAAAAAGTGTACAAGCAAGAGAGATAACCGCACCCTGGAGAGGATTGTGAAACAAAACCCATTCAAAAATGTGGGGGAGATTCACAAAGAGTGGACTGCAGCTGGAGTGAGTGCTTCAAGAACCACCACACACAGACGTATGAAAGACATGGGTTTCTGCTGTCGCATTCCTTGTGTCAAGCCACTCTTGAACCACAGACAGCGTCAGAAGCGTCTTGCCTGGGCTAAAGAGAAACAGGACTGGACTGCTGGTGAGTGGTCCAAAGTCATGTTCTCTGATGAAAGTAAATTTTGCATTTCCTTTGGAAATCAAGGTCCCAGAGTCTGGAGGAAAAGAAGAGAGGCACTTCATCCACGTTGCTTGAAGTCCAGTGTAAAGTTTCCACAGTCAGTGATGGTTTGGGGTGCCATGTCATCTGCTGGTGTTGGTCCATTGTGTTTTCTGAGGTCCAGGGTCAACCAGCCACATACCAGGAAGTTTTAGAGCACTTCATGCTTCCTGCAGCTGACCAACTTTTTGGAGATGCAGATTTCATTTTCCAACAGGACTTGGCACCTGCACACAGTGCCAAAGCTACCAGTACCTGGTTGAAGGACCATGGTATCCCTGTTCTTAATTGGCCAGCAAACTCTCCTGACCTTAACCCCATAGAAAATCTATGGGGTATTGTGAAGAAGAAGATGCAATACACCAGACCCAACAATTCAGAAGAGCTAAAAGCCACTATTAGAGCAACCTGGGCTATCATAACACCTGAGCAGTGCCACAGACTTATCGACTCCATGCCACGCCGCATTGCTGCAGTAATACAGGCCAAAGGAGGCCCAACTAAATACTGAGTGCTGTACATGCTCATACTTTTCATGTTCATACTTTTCAGTTGGCCAACATTTCTATAAATCCTTTGTTTTTATTGGTCTTCAGTAATATTCTAATTTTCTGATATGATGAATTTGAGATTTTCATTTGTTGTCATTTGTAATCATCAAAATTAAACAAAATAAACATCTGAAATATATGAGTTGGTATGTAATGTATGAATATAATATACAAGTTTCACTTTTTAAATGGAATTACTGAAATCAATCTACTTTTTCATGATATTCTAATTTTATGACCAGCACCTGTACTTCCTGTTGTCAGGCAGGTACTTTTAAAGTGACTTTCAGATTTTCAGGCCTGGTTGTGGATTTTGAATATGCACTCAGCTGCAGAAACCAATAATAATAATGAAATAATATTTGTGATTTAACAAGAGGATGATTCCTATTTTCGTATGTATCATGTTCGTTTGGAGTTCTTTTTTTCCCCTGACTAATAGAAGGTATTATGTATAACCTGCTTAACTGGTTATCTTTGTCTCATATTAAATTAGTTTAATGATATTATTCAATTTACTGTGACAAAAGAAACTATAACAGAAATAAGGTATCTATAAAGAAGCAAATACTCCTGCACAAGACTGCATTTTTTTTTCCTTTGACATTTGAGATAAAATCCACTGACTCGACAGATCTCCATGCGGTTGGCTGCCTCCTCCATCTCCTCCCGGAGGTGGTCAGCCTTAGCTCCTGTTGGCTGCAGATTGCTGGATATTCCCGAGGATTTGTTAGACTGGTAATATCTGGGAGAAAAAAAGAACATGTTCGTCTTTACAAAATATATACTCACGGGACATTGTTTTAAGGCTAAAAAGCTGCTATGGGGAAGTCATTTGTTAAAAGGAGGCAAAGAATGACAGGCTGCTAAAACTATCTTTAGGCTATTTCCTTTTCTGATTTCGTCTGTCGGATTCTTCTGTCCTTCCTCTGCATGTCTGGCTGCCTGGCTCTCTGTCTGAGTGCAGATAATATGGAGCACTGCCAGAGGAGTTCAGTGCACAGCAGGAGGATGGGAGAAATTGCTTTATATTTGGGTCACTTTAAAAACTGCCAGACTGGACTGCATAACATCCTGCATGTCACTAACTATGATAACTCTGATATGACACTGAGTCAGCATGATGCATGTAAATGTGAGACAAAAGGCTATTTTTTTAGTAAAAAAAAACATTGTCAGAAGAAGATACTGATTAATTTTACTGTAAGTTACCTTTCCTGCTGTCTAATTTACTGTAAATAAACATCTGTGTTTCTAACATCGGTAAACTGAAATGTATAAAAAGGATGATTCTCTATTTTAAAATTCAACATCTTTGGTTAAAGACTGCATACATTCTCCTGTCCCAAGAGAATTAAAGTATTCAAATGCTTTCAATAGGCTATATGCCCAACTTCACTACTTCCTGAACTTTAGCCAGCACCGTTGTTTCCTGTCTTTCATTACTAGACACATTGGGTGTGTTCGATTTCAGAGGCTGCGTCCTCCAAGGACCCGGTCTCCCTGGACCGAGTTTTGGCTATGGATTCAAACAGGTCCAGCCTTCTCTGGCTTTCAACCAGGTCAGTCATTTCAGTAACCATGATTACAAAGGTGCTAGCTGAAGTTCAGGAAGTAGAGTTATGGATATAACCAATTTATGTAACAGTATACCACTGATTGAAATGCCTTTTATTATGATTGGATCAGATAGTCTTCCTATATCCCACAGATTTCAGCCTGACCCCAACAATTATTTAACATATACATATAAAAATATACATACAATACCTTCTCTATATGTTAAGTTAAAAAGGTGAACTTATTTTTTTAATTATTGTATTTTTTTAATGAAAGTTGGTTTCTTAATTGATCATTTTAAATTTATTTTTTATTATTTAGTTACACATGTCATTATTACTCATTTGCTAATTTTACAATTTAACAGTAAAATCCATCCATCCATCCATCCATCCATCCATCCATCCATCCATCCATCCATCCATCCATCCATCCATCTTCTCCTGCTTAGTCCTTGTCAGGGACCTGAGCCTATCTCCAGCCATCTACAGGGGAAAGGCGGGTTACATCCTGGATAGGTTGCCAGTCTGTCCAAAAGCAACACAGAGACACACAACTATGCAGATACACACTCACACCTGAGGACAACACATGCATGGGGAGAACATGCAAACTACATGGAGAAAGTAAAAAAAAAAAAATCAAACCCTTTTTGCTGCAAGGCAACAACACTATCCACTGCGCCATCTTTGAATCATCTATTAGACAAATAAGTAAATAGATATTTTAAATTCCATTTCATGGAAGAGTCACCTTTTGTACCTGAAATGCTCCCTTCACTCAATAACAGATTTGTATCTTGCTGCACATCCTTTCAGCTCAATCTCTGCACCCAACCTATCAATAAAACACCTTTTCTACTTTACTGTCCAGCTTTTATTTTATTTTTTTTCCCAGCGTCTTATTGTCAGTAAACTGTCACAAGTACATAGCAACAAAGTTAACTCTCTGCATTCCCTTGGTGAGCAGTGTGGGATTAAGGGACTTGCTCAGAAAGCCAGAGTGGCAGTCCGTGGGAGTGGGGCTTGAACTCAGAACCTCAGGATTCCAAGCGCAATGCCACCACTACCCAAAGCAGGCATTAGTGTAAACAGTTTTGCCTACGGGTGACCTACTACTTGAGCTAGCCAGCCACTTAGAACAATTATTTTTTGATTTCTTAGAACAATTTGAGAAATAACATAAATCATGTTAGAATGTTGCACGGCTGTTTGCTTTTTTAACAGTGCGCAGAACGGCAGTGTTAAAAAAAAATGCTGTAGATAAATATGTGGTATAGCATCAGCATGAATCACTGTTTAACAGGAAGCTGTTAGGAACAACTTTAACATCACGCTGAGCGATAGAATCAGGCAGTGATGTTACAATAAAGAGAAAAGGTCTGATTCAAACAAGAACATTTAGCAGGTGACTGACAGAGGGATCTTTTTCCCAGGCTATCAGCAGAGTTCAGGGACAGAAACTTTAATGTCACAGAACCTCCATGGTGTGCAATCAAATCCTAGTGACATTCAGTGGGAAGCCTCAGGAGCTCCGAGTTCACAGGGGATGGAGTTTCCAAGTTCCTTGACTGCTGTTAATTTTCTCTCACTTACACAATAAAGTCAAACATGTCTCCATGCTCACCTTGTGCGAGCGGAATCCATGTCGAGGACCAGTTTTGCTAAATGTTTCCTTTGTTTCTGGATGTTTGGGATTTCCACCTGAGAAGACAGAGAAGGGAGAAACAGGTTGGTTATTGTCAGATTCTAGGCTAGTGGAGCATAACCCTGCAGTTGTCTAACAATAAACTGCTCGATCTTTGGAACAAACACTGTGACACCTCATGGCTGTGAGATTGACACAACAACCTGGTTCTTAAGTTTCCGAATTTAAACTTTTTGATTTTATTTGATTTCTAGTACCTGCTTCTTTGCATCCTTTAGCGTAAGAAAAACACAGTTATAGGAATAAATTAGGGATCCTAATACGTATTCCTACCATTAAAATGAAAAGATACAATATTGATGTTAATATTCTTTTTTGTGTGTAAAAGATGAGTTAATTAAAAAAATCAACCTTTTTTTAGTCATTATACAATGAAAAACTGATCGTCTTCTGACTCAGCTTATGCCTGCATATGTTTATTTTCAGCCAGTCTTTGTTGGATTTATTGAGATATTTGGGAGGATTTTCATGTCATATTGAGCTTTATGTTTTATTTTCTTTGCAGGTAGTCTCACATTTCTTTAAACACTTTGTCACACAGCAAAAAAATTAAACCCTGATGGGGTCCTGCTGTTACAACGCATGCCCAAAGAGTTGGTATGAGGTTCTTTACCTGAATTGCTGAAAATCTGCGGATTTTGTCATTGGTCCACAATTTATGATAGAGCTGATAGGCTGATTTCAGTTTTTTTACATTCTACTACAGCTACAAGCTTCTTTCTAAAGGCCTCAGACAGCTCTGTAGATCTCACCATGATGTTTACTTTTACTTTAACAGCACAGCACCATTTAAATGCCTTTTAACAGAGCAAAATGCCTCTAAAAATTCTGAGTAATCACTCTCTCATCACATAGTTTCAAGATACTATATCTTAAGTTGCAGCCAAGCCAAGTCTGCATATCCGTTATATTTTTGAAGGATTGTCACTGCCCTTTATTTATATTTGCTTTTTCCATTGTTAAAGCAGACTGAAAAAGAATTTTGCAATAAATCCAAACATGAAAAATATTTTAACAGATGAAGATATGCACATTTACATGTCAGTCTAGAGATGTAGAACCTTTACTTAAAGCATTTATAACACAATATTATGATCTTAACTGTATAACTTACATGGTTCAACGTTATACAGCCATAAAACTTTAGAAGTCAAATGATTAGAGCTTTTTTGTTTTTATAATAAGATATAACAAGGAAATCTGTGCCCCTACCTCTGCTAGGTCGCATAAAGGCTCAATCACGTCTTTCTCGATAGTGAGCTCGAATAAAATGAGCTCCTGAGCAAGTCTCTCCTGCGTCTCGCCACAGAGTTTCAGCATCTTCCTGCATTCACCAATGATACATGTTTAATCAGGGGGGAGGAGGTCATGGCATCCAATACTCTTTCTTTTAACAGTTTGCAGCAGGTGAATAAAAAGCATGTTATAGCGCTTACCCCAGCAGAGAGTCGTCCCCTAGCACGGCTGCTCCCTCCACCATACATTGTGCGAGCGTTGTGAGAGGGAGCTTCTTCTGCAGAGAGATAAGCAGAAACCTTCACTGATTCAGCAGCTAAGTGTGTCAGTTATCTCAGAACATTGTGATTAACACAAGAAACACATCAGTGTGTGACAGACAACAAGCAGCTGCGACACCTGGTAATGTTTCAACTAAAAATAATGCTGTAGAACATGCTATGTTATCTAACAAAATGTGTCCCTCACTCTGGAGTTAAAAACATCCTATTTAAATGAGTTAACTGGGTTCAAGCACTAAGCCATCATTTTTTTACTTACATTTGATTTATTTTGGGAAATAAAAGGACCACATACACTCACCGGCCACATTATTAGGTACACCTGTCCAACTGCTTGTTAACACTTAATTTCTAAGCAGCCAATCACATGGCGGCAACTCAGTGCATTTAGGCATGTAGACATGGTCAAGACAATCTCCTGCAGTTCAAACCGAGCATCAGTATGGGGAAGAAAGGTGATTTGAGTGACTTTGAACGTGGCATGATTGTTGGTGCCAGAGGATCTGGTCTGAGTATTTCAGAAACTGCTGATCTACTGGGATTTTCACGCACAACCATCTCTAGGGTTTACAGAGAATGGTCCGAAAAAGAAAAAACATCCAGTGAGCGGCAGTTCTGTGGGCGGAAATGCCTTGTTGATGCCAGAGGTCAGAGGAGAATGGCCAGACTGGTTCGAGCTGATAGAAGGGCAACAGTGACTCAAATAACCACCCGTTACAACCAAGGTGGGCAGAAGAGCATCTCTGAACGCACAGTACGTCGAACTTTGAGGCAGATGGGCTACAGCAGCAGAAGACCACACCGGGTGCCACTCCTTTCAGCTAAGAACAGGAAACTGAGGCTACAATTTGCGCAAGCTCATCGAAATTGGACAATAGAAGATTGGAAAAACGTTGCCTGGTCTGATGAGTCTCGATTTCTGCTGCGACATTCGGATGGTAAGGTCAGAATTTGGCGTCTACAATATGAAAGCATGGATCCATCCTGCCTTGTATCAACGGTTCAGGCTGGTGGTGGTGGTGTCATGGTGTGGGGAATATTTTCTTGGCACTCTTTGGGCCCCTTGGTACCAATTGAGCATCGTTGCAACGCCACAGCCTACCTGAGTATTGTTGCTGACCATGTCCATCCCTTTATGACCACAATGTACCCAACTTCTGATGGCTACTTTCAGCAGGATAATGCGCCATGTCATAAAGCTGGAATCATCTCAGACTGGTTTCTTGAACATGACAATGAGTTCCCTGTACTCAAATGGCCTCCACAGTCACCAGATCTCAATCCAATAGAGCATCTTTGGGATGTGGTGGAACGAGAGATTCGCATCATGGATGTGCAGCCGACAAATCTGCGGCAACTGTGTGATGCCATCATGTCAATATGGACCGAACTACCTGAGGAATGCTTCCAGCACCTTGTTGAATCTATGCCACGAAGAATTGAGGCAGTTCTGAAGGCAAAAGGGGGTCCAACCCGTTACTAGCATGGGGTACCTAATAAAGTGACCGGTGAGTGTATAAGGACAGAGGTGGTTCTGACCCTGATAGCACACTGGGAGATTCCTGCTCTCTGCCCCCATCAATGGTCTCAGGTGGTTCTATTGACAATAATGAATCTTAAACGTGTACAGCTTTTGGTATATATATATATATATATATATATATATATATATATATATATATATATATATATATATATATATATATATATATATATATATATATATATATACAGGTGCTGGTCATAAAATTAGAATATCATGAAAAAGTAGATTGATTTCAGTAATTCCATTTAAAAAGTGAAACTTGTATATTATATTCATACATTACATACAAACTCATATATTTCAGATGTTTATTTTGTTTAATTTTGATGATTACAAATGACAACAAATGAAAATCTCAAATTCATCATATCAGAAAATTAGAATATTGTGAAAAGGTTCAAAATTGATGGCCCCTGGTGCCACACTCTAATCAGCTAATTAACTCAAACCACCTGCAAAAGCCTTTAAATTGTCTTTCAGTCTAGTTCTATAGGCTACACAATCATGGGGAAGACTGCTGACTTGACAGTTGTCCAAAAGACGACCATCGACACCTTGCACAAGGAGGGCAAGACACAAAAGGTCATCGCTAAAGAGGCTGGCTGTTCACAGAGCTCAGTGTCCAAGCACATTAATAGAGAGGCGAAGGGAAGGAAAAGATGTGGTCGAAAAAAGTGTACAAGCAAGAGAGATAACCGCACCCTGGAGAGGATTGTGAAACAAAACCCATTCAAAAATGTGGGGGAGATTCACAAAGAGTGGACTGCAGCTGGAGTGAGTGCTTCAAGAACCACCACACACAGACGTATGAAAGACATGGGTTTCTGCTGTCGCATTCCTTGTGTCAAGCCACTCTTGAACCACAGACAGCGTCAGAAGCGTCTTGCCTGGGCTAAAGAGAAACAGGACTGGACTGCTGGTGAGTGGTCCAAAGTCATGTTCTCTGATGAAAGTAAATTTTGCATTTCCTTTGGAAATCAAGGTCCCAGAGTCTGGAGGAAAAGAAGAGAGGCACTTCATCCACGTTGCTTGAAGTCCAGTGTAAAGTTTCCACAGTCAGTGATGGTTTGGGGTGCCATGTCATCTGCTGGTGTTGGTCCATTGTGTTTTCTGAGGTCCAGGGTCAACGCAGCCACATACCAGGAAGTTTTAGAGCACTTCATGCTTCCTGCAGCTGACCAACTTTTTGGAGATGCAGATTTCATTTTCCAACAGGACTTGGCACCTGCACACAGTGCCAAAGCTACCAGTACCTGGTTGAAGGACCATGGTATCCCTGTTCTTAATTGGCCAGCAAACTCTCCTGACCTTAACCCCATAGAAAATCTATGGGGTATTGTGAAGAAGAAGATGCAATACACCAGACCCAACAATTCAGAAGAGCTAAAAGCCACTATTAGAGCAACCTGGGCTATCATAACACCTGAGCAGTGCCACAGACTGATCGACTCCATGCCACGCCGCATTGCTGCAGTAATACAGGCCAAAGGAGGCCCAACTAAATACTGAGTGCTGTACATGCTCATACTTTTCATGTTCATACTTTTCAGTTGGCCAACATTTCTATAAATCCTTTGTTTTTATTGGTCTTCAGTAATATTCTAATTTTCTGATATGATGAATTTGAGATTTTCATTTGTTGTCAATTGTAATCATCAAAATTAAACAAAATAAACATCTGAAATATATGAGTTTGTATGTAATGTATGAATATAATATACAAGTTTCACTTTTTAAATGGAATTACTGAAATCAATCTACTTTTTCATGATATTCTAATTTTATGACCAGCACCTGTATATATATATATATATATATATATATATAAAAACCTCAGAATACATTGGTTCACATCTGATTTGCGTACCCATTTTGGATGTTAAGCTGGAGATAATCGAATGCATGTCTGATTTCTTCGAAAATTTGAAACAGCCCTTTAATTGTCAAATCTAAGGCTACAGATGACAACTTGTGAGTAAAGCCATACTTTTAGAGTCACTTTACTGAACATAACAAATAAACACTAGAAAAATTGTGGGTTTAAGATGTAGATAACAGAAATTCAAAAACTCAAGTTCTAGTACTGCTAGTTATCCTGTCATTTCAGCTTTACAGCTAGCCTTAGTATAGAATTGCTGAAACAGTTATCAGAATGCTAAAGTTCAGGCTTTGTACTTAAGTTTTACCAATTCAAAATCAAAATAATATCACTTAAACCACATTTAGCTACTAACCCACAGAACACTACTCCAGGATCACACTGAAAACGGTGCAACTGTGGTGAGGTTGTGCTGCAAAAAGTCCCTCACACAGAACCCTGCAACCAGGCTGGCCCAGCTGTGCCTCCTGCTGCAGAAACAGTGCTTAAAAAATGATGTTCACATGGGATTACAATTTTTCTGGGAGTTGTTGGCCAAAACTTGTTATCTGTGCGCATACATATCCCCTTCTAATCCTCCAACAGCCTTTCTGTTTCCTTGTGTTTCTGTTCTGCTTTTCTTTCTGTTTTCATTAGTTAGGTTTTTTGTAGGTTGGTTGGTTGATTCTGTTCTTTGAAGTATTCAGTTACTTGATCCACAAAGAATCAGTAACTACAATCACATTGCCCTGTAGCTGCTGTGAGTATACACAGTGATTTTAATTATTTGGGTTTCTTATGGCACCGGCACTGCAGCTGCACCGCAGCGATCAGTGGGACCCTTTGCAAAAGTCAGAAACAGAAGTAAAACAGGACATTCCGACCACCAAAACACCTTAATATGCATTTGTATTTAAAAGTGCATGAATCATTTTAATTGTTTTTCTTTTCCCAATGTAAAGAATTTCGAAATTAAAATTTCAACTGGAAGGATGTTAAAGGTTGGTCATTCAGATTAGATAATATATACTAAAATCTTAAAATCCAACATGGCCGTCTCCTGTGAAAAAAGGTAGTAAAAGAAATGAACTAATAATCTACAATCTTTTCAGTGTGTATTAATCTGTTTTACCCTTGGAAATAGACATATTGCTTAAGTCTTTAAATGCATATAATATAGCTAAATACGTAGTTATCATTTTCACTTTTAGTAACGCAAATGAGAAAATATTTTTTAATTTCACCACTAGGGTAATTATTGTGCTGTCACTGAATGTTCTTAGATTGTTTGTTTCATGGATAAATATCATTTCATTGAGAAGTCAAACCCTGCAGGTTCAATGTGTTTATTTGTTCCCTCTCATTAATAAAGCTGAAAATATATAAGACAAATAAATAAATTACAGATTAATGTACAATTTCTAACATTTCTACCAAAGGTTACACCAAGTTCACAAGCTTGCTGAAAATGTGTATTACACTAAAAATCCCATTTATCACTAATGATTAGCATCACAATAGACCTCACAAACAAAAGATCCGTGGACTATTTCCTTTGATCTGAAAGAATGAAAAACTGATTTTCACTCTGTTTGCCTACAGGTACCTGTGTTAGAGTGGAGAAATCACATTACTGCTTCACTCTTTCAGGAACACAAGACAAAGGATGTTTTTTGTTTTTTTGCAGATAGGAGTGCTTTCATTTGTTTGAAAAATGATTATGAATGAATGTTCTGTTTCTGCCTGCCATCTACCTCTGGTGGATTAAAACCTATATTGCTACATATTTGCTTTTTTTTCTTATTTACAAAACTACCCCCCTTTGTTTTGCTCTATTCTTCGATTTTATTTTCCTTCTTCTGATTTTTCTGAGACTTTTTGATGATTTTCATCTGAGTAAACATATTTTTTAAACTTTTTTTTTATCTGGGATTATTAATTCATAGCATTATCCTGACAAATTTCACTCTTAATGATCCAAAACCTGAGATTTCTCTGCATGTTGCAGGCAACATACAGACTGTTGATACCTAAAAACAACCTAAGATTTTGATTTTCTTTAGTGTTTAATGTTTTCAGCAACACGTGGGGTTTGGAGTCTCACCGAGGGTGATCTGACAGACTTCTTGTCCACATCCACACCCTGTTGACCCTGCAGACAGGCGGTCAGCTTCTTGTGTGTGCTGTGGGAAACCTGCTTGACCAGCTCCAATCGTTTCTCAACCTAAAATTGAAACACGATATAGAAAAAACTTGTCAGAATCTATGGAACGTGTCCCATCAAATGTGGATTTTGACAGTACAAAAAAGGCTTCAGTTAAGGAAACATAAAAGAGACCTAGACTCTGTAGCGTTTTTATATTTGCATATAAACACCATCACTGTATTTGTGCTTAAACGCCTTTCACCGCATTACCAAACCAAATCAGTGGAGAAGGCGACACAGGGCATCATTATTTTAGTCAATTACAATCCCACACCCCGGATCAATCACTGGGGACGTTCAGCTTTATGTATTGCAGAAAAGTCCAATTTCTGCCCTCATTACAGTTGCCTGAAGGCATTCCAGAGTCGTCTCGTAAAAGTAATTTTATGAATGCTGAATACTTTGCACCACTAATGATTGTTTCCCAAGAGAGACGTTCATTCTAGCGCAAACATGTATTCGATGAAGACTTATTAGTACCTGCAGTAGGTCATCACTCAATACTTCGGTTTTTTCAGCCCTGGAAAAGAAAATGAGACAGGAAAGAAGCTGTTAGGGTGATGAGCGAAAACTCATAGTATAAAAACATGGAAACTTCAAACTTCTGGGCTGGAAATAAATAATATTCAAGTTCTAAGGAGAGGAAAATACAAGTAAATAGTACATATTTTTAAAGTGTGTGTTTAGTGATCCCCCAGTATCTATAACAAAGGACCTCATGCTAAGCCAACTGAGCACTCAGACAGAAACAGGCCTGAAAGCTGAGTGATATATTTCATATATATTTTGGTAGAAATTACATATAAAATGTAAAGAATTCAGATGTAAAACCAGTAATACAAACTAGATGTTCTAATTTATGGAGGAATGACTGTGAAATTACAGCCATGATATAACTACATTATCTCACAGGATTTCCCAGCCATTCAGCTAGAATTCCACAGACATGGATATCACATCTTCACTAGGAGGTTTTTTTCCTTTGACATTTCCATATAAATGAGGTTTTTATATGTAAACAATCATTACTCTTAATGCAGAGCAGGAAACACTGTTATAATCATAGATTCAGGGTATGTAGAAAAAAATAAACCTTTTAAATTGAAACAACTGAGATGAATCTGCGGCTGCAGAAAAGGGTGGAGCAAATACTTTTATAATCAATTTTGCAACAAATTTTAAAACTTTTGAAACCATGTCTAACATTTCAAGCATCATGCAACCAGCATAGCCGAGCCTGGGTACAATTCCTGGCTTTGCATGTTTCTCTCTACCAAAGAGCAAAAATCCAATCAGAACTAAACTTATACTAAGTCCAAAGCCCATCTATGTGCAGTATTTATTAATTTGGAGAGCATGGATTGTTTGGTTTCATTTGCTTAGTGAGATTTAATTTTTTATATTATAGTGACATCCTTGGAGCCCTGCTTGTCCTGAGAAGAAATAAAGATATCACTCATTATGATAAATTAGACCACTAAACTCAAGAAGAGTTAGTCAACCATAAAAAAATACTTATAACCTAGGGGCTGAATCTGTGAAACTAAAAGAGAGATGATTCACACACTCACATATGCGATCCTCACATAAACAGGACATGATCTTATGCTGTGCGTGTGTGGATCTTATCCTGTGCGTGTGTGTAAATTATCCTGTGCATGTGTGGATCCTATCCTGTGTGAGTGTGTGTGTGTGTGTGTGTGGATCTTATCCTGTGCATGTGTGGATCTTATCCTGTGCGTGTGTGGATCTTATGCTGTGCATGTGTGGATCTTATCCTGTGCATGTGTGGATCTTATCCTGTGCGTGTGTGGATCTTATGCTGTGCATTTGTGGATCTTTTCCTGTGCATGTATGGATCTTATGCTGTGCGTGTGTGGATCTTATCCTGTGCGTGTGCGTAACTTATCCTGTGCATGTGTGGATCCTATCCTGTGTGTGTGTGTGTGTGTGTGTGGATCTTATCCTGTGCATGTGTGTAACTTATCCTGTGCATGTGTGGATCCTATCCTGTGTGTGTGTGTGTGTGTGTGTGTGTGTGTGTGTGTGTGTGTGTGTGTGTGTGTGTGTGTGTGTGTGTGTGTGTGTGGATCTTATCCTGTGCATGTGTGGATCTTATCCTGTGCATGTGTGGATCTTATCCTGTGCGTGTGTGGATCTTATGCTGTGCATGTGTGGATCTTATCCTGTGCATGTGTGGATCTTATCCTGTGCGTGTGTGGATCTTATGCTGTGCATGTGTGGATCTTTTTCTGTGCATGTATGGATCTTATGCTGTGCGTGTGTGGATCTTATCCTAAGGCATTTTACAATTCAACCAGATCATACAGTCAAATTGATTCAAAGTTTTCTATCTAAGGAAAACCAGTTGATTTCATCGACTCATTGGCTAGAAGGCAATCCCTCACACTAAGCATGCTTGTAGAGACAGTGGAGAGGAACAACTCCCTTTTAACAGAAAGAACCCTCCAGCAGAACCAGACCATCTGCTGAGGCCGGCTGGGGTTCAAGGAGAGAGAAGAAGACATAAAAAAAAGAAGCAGAGATAAAAAAGGAAACTGTAAACTATCTCCACAGTTGGCCCCGTCCAGGAATCACACAGCCAGGCAGACAAGCAATGAGCCAGTTCCTATGTCAGAGGATGAAGAGAGCACATCCAGCCAGTCACAGTATTAAATCATCAACTGATTTAATAAAACTATTGTTCGGTGGAGTAGAGACTCTAAAACATGCTGAAAGAAAAGCCACCTCAGAGCAGTAATTAATCCAAACAAATCTAAGAAATATATACAGTTTGCATTTGATGTGGAAAACCTTCATAGTCTGTAAAAATGCTTCATTAAGAACTGCCTTGGTTTCCTTTCTATAGAAACATTCGTTGACTCACAAAGCAGATTGCACTAAATACGACACAGAGGACATCACACAGGGGCAATTAGCACCTTCTTTTTTGCACCAGGGTGGATTTTTTTCTCCTTCCTCAGCCAAAAAACATAACAGAGTGCTCAAAGAGATAGAGGCAGAAAATAAAGTTCCACAGTTTAGGCAGAAGAATTTAATGGCAGGATAAATAGTCGGTATGCACTTCATATCTGGTCCTTTGTCCTCAATAGCTAACTTTTAGAAGCATTTCTGTTACCCTTCTCCTGACAAATCAAGATCTCATTATCAGACATCTGCAGAGTGTAAAGCTTTACAACAACTACAAGTAAGGAATCAGAAACCTGGGTATATCTGGGAAAAGGATAATTTATAAACTATAAGCAACATGCTCATTATAATAACTTAAAACACTGCTATGAAATCTAAATCTAACACCTTTTCTTGAGTCACCTACACTAACCAATTAGGTTCACCTTACCAGACATCCAGAAAGGCCCTGACAGCATACCCACTGAGGCTGCATCCTGCTACCAACCGAGCGTCCCATAATTTAGTCCATTAGAAAAAAAATGCTTTACTGCAGAGGCTGAATGGACTTACAGAGCTGTGCTCTTCCTGCAAGAGGCTCTAGTCTTGTTGATCTGCAGCTTTCTCTTCCACATCCCCCTACTAAGAGGTGGTAACACACCTGTTCTCTGGCAGGATCCTGGTGACAGGAACCATACAGAAAAAAGGGAAAGCAGAACGAAGGCAGGGGGAGGTGGGTGAGGGAGGGAATGTTAGCCTTAAGAATGAGACCGGACTATCTAGTCCTTTGTTTCTCACTTGCTACTCGTATTTTCTGCACCCCTGTCAAAAGCAAGGAGTGCAAAAATATGTAAGGGTTGTATTTTATGGCTGAATATACCGACCTGACACAAAGAAAACAATCTGAGAGCTGAGTCAGAGGTCCTACTGCTGCAGCTGAATGGTTATTGATTTGTCTCTAGAAGAATAAGGAGGGGCTCTTAAGGATGAGGGGACGGTGATTTTATTTCTGCTCAGCTCCTGCAAGCAGCTACCTAAGCCTGTAATTAGATAGTGGAAAAAATCTATTTCCTGAACTTTTAATGTGCCCAAATGTAAAATGAACCAGATGTTTACAGCAGCTTTAAATCAAAGTCAAACTTAAGATAAGGCAAATGTGTAAAAGAAATGTTATCAGGAGATAACCGTCTGAGGCAGCAGGTTGTATTTTTTCTTTAAAGTTTTCTAGTATTTCAAAGAATGAATGCATAAACTGGAGTCTGCTGAGTCGATGCATCATGCATGCCTTGCAAAAATATTCATACCCTTTAAACCTCTTCATATTTTGTCATATAACCAGTCAGATTATTTGCCCTTACTTCTCTGCCAAAAAATGCCAGCTTGTGAACATCAGGTATTAAAACCTCTAAAACAGTGATGACAAAAGTTGGGGATCCTTGATCAACCAATTTTGAGTCTTTAGATCCACTATAGAAATTAAAATTAACAATAAAAATTCATGTTAAAGTGCTTAAAGATAAGAAAACATCACTTTAAAATTGACAAAACCAACTATTTTGGTTGCTGATGTTTTTTTTAAAATAGTCAACTATTGTGGGTCCAAAAATAAAAAAGTTTGGGAACCTCTGACGACCAATTAGATGCTGCTCTGGACTTTACTACTTCTTTCTTACACATGCATATGATTTGTTTTAGGGCTGCAACTAATGATTATATTGAAAATTGATTAATCTGACAATTATTTTTTCGATTAATGGATTAACAATCAACTAGCCAAAGATTCCTTAAAGACATTTTTCATTCCTCTTAGGGAGGTCTGGATAGAGCATATTGTCAAACAACAAAGTCTTTTTATCTTAAATACAAAACTATAATATATATATTTTTTTTATTTTGATATTATTACTGCTCTAAGTGGGATTCTCTGTCAGCTAAAGGTATATTCTACAGTCTATACTCCAGTTACTGATTAATAGATTACTGAATTAGTTGACAATTATTTCAAAATCAATTAATCAGGATTAATCCATTTAAATGTTTCATCCTTAATTTGTTTTAAACCGTTCAACAGTATCTCTCAGTCTAAAGACTTCTTGAGTCTCAAACAGGACTATCCTATGTTGCATTTTTCCCACAAAGGCCAGATCTGTGGCATAAAGGACTAACCATATTCCTGTCAACAGATTCTCCTTCCCGAGATCTGGATCCCGGATCATCCGTTAAATGCTCTCTGTGTCTGGCATGTCAGTTTAAGTAGAAAACAAGCATGTCTTGGTAGGTCTGCAGTCATTTTATGCTTTTGTCTATTTTCATTTAATGGCTTGAAAAATAATCTGTGAGGTCGCCAAAGCTTCATATACTGTTTTAAATTCTGATCTAAAGTTCCCTCTTTATTTTATTTTTTTCCCTGACCTTGTTGATCTGTTCCTTTGTTTCCATAAGGATGTTTCCAGAACAACTGTATAAATTCTAAGACTAAATTAAAAACGGATTAACAATATTTTCTTAATTAGGTGAATCCCAGGGTCGGAATACTTTTATAATAGAAGACCATCAACACGTTATTTATTCCATAAAAAATGGTAGTAAGTGTATCATGATGCATCAAAAGGCGAAGCTGAGGTGTTTGAAAGATGGATGGAGATAAATACCTGAAAATCCAGCAAGAAAATCTGTTAGACATTGAAAAACCCTTGAAACTAGACAGGTACTCAGCCTCAGGAGGAGTGAAACTGTTGAGGACAAAACCCAAAAGAGCTGCATCTTTCCAGCAAAAAAACTGGATCTACTAAATTGGAACTGCACATTGAATGTTTTATTTATTAAACAAACATTTTCCTCTTCACAATTGTTTAATAATTTGAGCTGGTCTGACAGCTAAAATCCCATTAAAGCACATTTAGTTTTAAGGTTTTAATTTGAAAGATGTAAAACACTTCAAGGAGCGTACAGAATATTAAAAGGCACGGTTCCTTTATTCTTATTTTTACTTACTTAAATTTTAGTTTGCTGCTTGCAGCACCAATTAAAAAAAAATTCTACTTGCATATAAAACATGTTTTCTGCAGGATGATCCAATACAACCACACACTAAAGATCAAGCCTGCAATCGACCAACCCACTTGAAAAGTAAAAAACTGAAAAGGCAAACAGATTCTTGCAAAAACTGGTCAAGTCTGTCACATTTTCTCCTTATCTTGTTGCCTTTTCTGAGTGACAGTTACATAGACTGCATGCAGACACAATCAGCCTTTGTCCTTCTCAGCTACTTTGTTGTAAAATGAAGGTAAAAGCAAAAGAAACAAATTGCTGTATGCCAATGGAATGAGCTCTTTGACCTAGAAGATTGAAATTCACTGAATGCTTGCAAACAGCGTCCAAACCTTTACAGCCTGCAGGTATTACATCTGCAAACCAACCAACCAAGAGCTTCCCTATGAATTTGTTAAGATGTCTTTAGCTTGAACTCTCGTGTTCTCTATTACTAGCAGTAGGCAAGTTTCAGTTACACTTATCTAACATTTCCCTAAAGGGAAACAATTTTTAAAAAGAGCATATTAAAGCTATAGCTACAGCATATAAAAACTGCAGTGATGCTGAATGCGTGTCAGAATGGTCCACTGCAAAAATTGCACAGAAGCTACATCTCTATAAATTCTCATCCAGTAAAAGACTTGTGCATCAAAAAGACTGGACTCGGATTAATTCATGTTTACTCTGCGATTAATAAGAACTAGATTTAAATGCATGTCATGTATGTTTTCCCCTTAATCTGCCACAGTACAGTCATAACATACATGACGCTGCAAACAGCTCCTTGTTTGTTATTTTTTTGCAATTTTGCATGTGTAAGGACAGGAGGAGCCGTGCTGTTCGTGCTACGCTGACGTTTCCAGTCGGGCTGGTGGATGGGGGTTGGGGGGGTGTTCCCGTAAAGCAGCATGACAGTGTTTGCAGCTGCGGAAGGGAGAGGCTGACAAACACATGCTTCATATTATGGAAAAAATGTTTTAGGCTGATGGAATACAAGCAAGTTAAAGAAAAAAAGACTGTCCCTTAGCTTTATAAGCAGGTGGAGAAAAAAAGCATTACAGCATAATATCTGATTTTCTTTAGCTGCAGCTTTTTTGTGCATTTTCTGACATGTAAAGCCCCCCCCCCCTGGGAAACCAGAACCAGCGGCTGGCTCATTGTTGGGATTTTACAGCAACAGCTACTGTCGTCACATCTGGGATTCCCACTGGCAGAGAAAACGGGACAGAGTGAAATGTGCAGTGAAATGTGACATAAAAACGGAGGGAGGAATTTAACGTTTGAAAAGGTTTTTATTTCCCTCGTGATTAAACATTTTGATAGACTTTAGACTACTGAGGGAAAAGCAGTGCAAAATATATAATAAAAATAGATGGACATTTGATTTTCCTAAAAAAAAGCTCTGTAGACTGAAACCAAAACGTTTAAAGGGTTTTCTCATATCTAACAATTTTTGGAAATGGTGCATATTCAATTGTTGTTTAGTCAAAAAGATTTTTTTCCCCCTATAGGTGAATGAACCTTATGAAAGATTAACCAACACATGGCTGCGTTCTCACAGCATGTATAATTAGGAATAAAATATGAGATAGGCACTATCACTTTTCTATTATTCTTATTCTAAATTAACAGTCACAAAGCTACAAAGACTTACAGGAGGCAACACAGAGGAAAATAAAGCAAAGGACCAAGCTGGCATTAAGGATGTGCTGAGAAGGCTATTTCCCTAAATTCTGGGCAGAGCTCAGTTATGTCATATTAACTTAATGTGTGACAGCTGTGCATAAAGAAAGGCTTTTAAACAAATGCTTGTTTAAAAGACCCTATGAACAATATCTAAACAAGAAGGAAAACCCAAATGAATCATATTAATCAGTTAAAATATAATAACTACACACATAATGTAAACAAAAGATTGAAAAAAAACTAAAACAAGACTGTAAATCGGACAAACTTTTCTTTATTCTAACTCAGACTCTGCAAAGGAGAACAAACTCAAAACCATTGTATAATGTGAACTGGCTGCATTATGTTTGGGATTCTTTTTTACAAAATGCACACAAAATTAACAATTAAGTTCACTAGACAAGCAGAATGGTTGAAATTATGAGATAAAAATATTTCAAGGACAAAAGTAACCCCCAGGAGAAATGTTCCAGGTGAAGTCAAATTACCCAGCATGCCTTTACTGCTAACTAGGGCGGGGTCTGTTTGATAGTTGCCACGGCAGCAGGCAATGCGGCAGTGAGAAGGTGTGTGTGGTTGAATGAATGAGGCTCTAGAGAATGACAGAGTTTTTCTCTAAAGGATTCCTGGGAATGTGCTGCTGCTGGCCTAAGAGGCATTTGTCACAACAGCAACACCTTCCATGAGATCTGTATCTTTAAGTATTAAACACTTTCTTTAGGCTTCAAGGTCACCTATCTATTTTACTCCCATTTCACGTTACACTCGGGCATTATCCTCTGTTAGTAAAATGCTAGTAAAAAGTTTTCAAGATTAGTTTTCTAAATATGTAAAGTAGGAGTACATTTGATATTTTAAGTGAAAAGGCCGACATCTTTTTTTGAAAAGCTCTGAATATAAGTGTTAAGAAAGCCTG